GACGTCACACCGTCAACACACTGGCTCAGCAGCCTTCGCTGTAAAGGCCCCGAAACTACGGCGGCTCCCACTCGAAACAAATCACAGGCTTTCATGTCATGACTTTTGTGAAATATTGGTCTTTGGGAGTGCTGGGCTGGGCGACCCGACGTTTCAGTTAACTCTTCACGAGATACGCGTTGTATACGCTTATATATGGGGGTGCGGAGCACAACTAGATACGCATCGTCAAGTATGAGACAAAAAGACGCGCAGTCATTGCTGATTCACGTTGAATAAGGTGGCCACGATCCGCGGCGTCGTCGTCTGGCGAAGCAACAGTGGGTTTTTCTTGTGAATTAAGACTCCGCTGAACACGACACACAGGAACGCCTTCGACGACCCGCTCCATTCCGCATGGCACGGGTTATCAGCAAAATGACGCTGCCGACCGTGCATGGTCGTCAGCTCAGCAGAGCTCACTGTTGTCGCGGCAACGAAATGGGATGAAATTTAAGAAAATGCATGGGTGTCACACGGTCAAAACTCATCAAGGTGCGCTGGGCTTCTCTTAATTGGGAATGTTGGTGAAGCTCCTGGATGTTTTCCTACCCGGTGCTGCATCTTATGTTGTATGTATATAGGGCCATGCCACGAGTTATTATCAAACAGCTTAAATGGTCAAAAATATATCATACGCGAGTTTTTATAAGGAAATTTAGTTTGAGCCCTTCATTCGATGATATTCGTGATCGGCGCCCGCACTAAGCTGTGCCTAATGCGTGAGCCCTGACCCCACCACCTGATGGCGACATCCGGATCAACGGCACATTTTTGCGACGAAAGCTGAACGTGCCGCAACACTCATCTCGGTCCGTCCTGCCCTCTGACGTCGCCTGACCTTTTGCGCAACCGTTGTCACCAGCCACAAGCCATCCCAGTCACGGACGAACCTCAAGCGACTACAGCGACTCTAACCCACCCCGCCATAAAGGCATGAGCTCTAATCAATCGAGCTGTCCGGACGGATGTTCTGATCCCGCCGCGATCATGACATCTGCCAAACCGCAATCCATCACACATAAAGAAGCTCAGCACTGCGAGATACCTGGTGATAACGCGATGATGGTGACAGACACCTGGTGATAGATGGTGATAGACGCCTGATGATAGATGGCGATAGATACCTGGTGATAGCGCGTAAAAATAATGTCGGGTGACAAACTGTCCCAGGTTCGTCTGCCATGCAGATGATGGCACAAGTCTGACTGTCGTGACGGAACAGGACGACGCGCGGCACCCCGACACGGCGGCGCGCCCCGCGCGGCGGCACTGACTGTCGTAGCTCTGGTGTTTGCCGTGCAGCAGGTGGAGCATGACGGTGTGCGTAGCCGAGACGATGATGATGGTGCCGTCTTCGCGGCCGCACACCAGCCGGCCCTCCTGCAGCGGCAGGTAGATGCTGGACGTCAGCAGCGGCGCCGAGCCGTCCGCCGACTCCTGCCGACACGCACGCGCCACGCCGGTTACCGGGCGCCGGTGAGCGGCTCGCGCACGCCGACCGAACACGCACGCGCCACGCCGGTTACCGGGCGCCGGCAGAGCACGCTCGTGCGCCGGGCCCATGCCCACTGGGTATTGGCCCACCGGGCCCATGCCCACTACTGACATCACTGGAGCTTCACGCTTCAGTGATGTCAGCGGCCGTGTCCTGCGACATCATGCCTGCGCTGGCTTCCACGGCTGTTTATGTGTGAGACGTCACCAACGATAAGAGTTATAAGCAGAGTTCTAAGTCAGCCACCTGTAAACCAACACGCATGCCGCACTCGGGATTGGACAGGGTACAGTGAGAAAAGACAAGCGAGAACGACGAGAACGAGTACTCGGAGTATCGTTATTGTCGTTAAAACATTTAGTTTAGTTGCATGTTTTCTCCTTCTACTCCACACGAGAGCATTAATCACGCGTTACCCTAGCCGTAATGAGCCTTGCTGCGCGCCGCCTAAGACCCTAGCTGCAGCATCCACAGTCTCATCCTTTAATCTCATGAGCAATGCGGTTTTGAGCCGACACCAACGCCGGCCAAAAGAGCCATGGCCAGCAGCAGCAAGCGATCTCAATCTGAACCAACACTGTTCTTCAACTGCATCAAAAGCTCGGTGGGGATGGCAACACCTTGACCTCGCTTAAACGAACCTGACAGGTCAGCGTGGCGGCGGCTCAAAATGTGACAGTGAGAGGAGGAGATGACGCACGACATTGTTGTCTGATGAGTTGTTTGCATATTTACTCCAGCACGTCGGGTGAGGAACCGCAAGAATCAGCAGATCTTGCACCGTACCCGACAGCTTAACTAGTGACAGTGGCGAAACCACTGAAGCAGTTGGAGGGGGGGGGGGGGGCTAGGAGAGCCTTATCCGGGAATGGAATGTCTCGTGTAGTCCCGTTAGATCTGTGAAGGCCAACACCAGTTGAGCCCATGACCAGCAGCCACACCTGTGTCGGCAGCAGGCGAGAAAGTCGGCCAGGGCCACGCTGGCTTCACACTCCCAACGCACGCAGCGAGCGCGGGTCACACGTGCTCACGCCAGTACGCGCACAGACTCCTCAGCACGAGTGACAGTGGGTGCCGTATCCCATGCAGATCGGGATACAGCACACGCTCCGAAGCTCGAAGCCAGGGCGTAAGCCCCTCATCAAAGCGCGGAACGGCCGGCGATCGTCAAGACCTCATCTAGCCACTTATCCACAGTGCGCCAAAAGTGGGGCCGGTGCATTCACTCCCGACGCAGGGCACGTTAGTAGTGGTCATCTGATTTTGGCACTATATCACCCAAGTACACAGAGCAACCAGCGGCTTCCTTAGCAGAGAGGAACACGGCCGGTGAAAAGCAGCCCACGAGACCGTCTCACCAGCTGGTCCAGGACACCGACGGGAGGAGGCTTCATCGACTGCCACGCCCTCTCGATGCTCCACAGCACCGTCGGCGGCATCTCTGCCGGGCAGGGGCGCTGTGCGAGAACGGCGGCCATGTCCACAGAAAAACCACCCTCCGGGTGGCCAGTGCCCTGATGGGCCACTGGTCGTAACGGAACTGTGGAGGGGAGGGGGGGGGGGGGGGGGGCACGCACATACAATCGTGTACTGAGACGGCAAAATGAGCTGAGAGCCCGGAGTATGACGAAGCTGACGACCCGCTGGGGATCGCCGTATCGTACCTGGCGGCCGGTACAGCTGCTGCTGCCAGCAGCTGCGCCAGCTGGTTGTTGGTGACGCGAGGCACGCGCCAGATGGCCAGCTGACCCAGACAGTCACCGCGCACCAACAGCTGAATGTTGGCCTCGCCGTGCAGCTCCGTGGTATACTGACGGCGGGCTAAACAGCTCCTGCCGGCACACAGCAGACGTCGGCACACGCAGCCGAGCTCCGCAAGCCTGAAACAGCGGGCTGAACATCTCCTGTCAGCACACAGCAGACGTCGGCACACAGCCGAGCCTCGCAAGCCTGAAACAGCGGGCTGAACATCTCCGCACACACAGCAGACGTCGGCACACACAGCCGAGCCCCGCAAGCCTGAAACGGCGGGCTGAACAGCTCCTGTCAGCACACACAGCAGACGTCGGCATACACAACCGAGCCCCGCAAGCTCTGAAACAGCGGGCTGAACAGCTCCTGTCAGCACACACAGCAGACGTCGGCACACACAGCTGAGCCCCGCAAGCCTGAAACATCGATCTAGAGAGCTCCTCCGTTGCACCCCAGACCTGGAGCCGCGGTTTCAAAGACAGGATCTGAAAGGCCAAGACCGACCCACTGAACATGAACAGCGGGATGTGTCTTCAACAACAAACTGTGCACTGTGGTCGCTTTTAACTCTTGCCAGCATTCATCACGTCGTGTTAATGGCCACACAAAATCCTCAAACGTTTCAAACAGATAAACAAATTGTTAAAACGGTGCCCGTAGATAACATCTCCCCGAACATTCCAAGGCTGGATTTTGTCGACGGCGGTGGCAGACAATGCGCATTTTCCCACCCACTTGTTGTATTCTGACGCAACATCCCCCAGTGCAGTTTTAGCCGAGTACACCTCTGGAAAAGTGGGTTCCATAGGAACGAAGTCCTGGAAGCAACAGTCTCAAAGGCTTTAGAAAAGAAGGGATAATCACATCTTTCGCGAAATCTAGCTACATACGTTTGCATGTTAAGCACAGACAGACATACGTTCCTGGACTCACAAAGGCCACAATAATGAGTTTCTGGCATAGCATACAGCTCTGATACTATCATGCCAACATGACCTTGACCTCACGTGACCTCAAGTCACGAGAGGCCGTAACCTCAACTACTTGGAAGTAAGACAAACGACAGCACATGAATCACATCAACTCGACTTTACCTGCTCGCCGGGTGACGACAGCACGCAGTAAGGAACGGCTCGTCGGCCTCCCGCGAGTGGAATGCCTCGTGCGTCGGGATGCAGCTGGGGGTCACGGCGGGCGCGGGTCAGCGGCCCGACGGCCGGGGGCGCGTGGCACAACGTGGCCAAGGCTGCAGCGCTTGAGCGGACGCCGCTGAGCGGCCCATACGCGCGACACGCACAATCACAGGCGCACACAAACTCAGCAGCAGTAGTACAGCAGTGTTACACGACCGGCCGGGTGCGAAGCTCGTCCAGTGCGATGCCCGTGAGGAGGTGCCCTCTCCGAGCTGTGGAGCGCTTCCGCACTGGGTTTGGCCGGGGCCGGTGGTGTCGGCAGCGGGCCGCCGCGCCGGTGACGCGGGCAGGCGCCACGAGTACGGCACAGCCTCCCAGAGGCGCAGTGTGCTCGTCCGTAGGCGAACGGAACACGTCACTTAAGCGTGCGATGTTTCCCGTGGCGTCCGTTTGGCGTGCCATACTTGAGCGAGCGCGGTCCATCTGTGCCTTTGTCGTCCCTTTTCAGGCTTTCATATGCAACCGAATAATACCACTGGTTTAGTCAAAGCCTAGGCCATTTGATCCAGAGGTTGTGCAAGGTCACCAAAGTCATTCCGTGGGTTTAGCGTCATATGACCTTGCACTTACGATATTCATGTACGGACACGATATCAATACGTTGCTGAAAGTTTTTCGACAATATGTTGGACCCAGGACCTCGTCTGACATGGCCTCCACATTGAATGACCCTTCACCAATATTGGTATAGCCCCTTCGCTCACATATTTAACCTGTATGCAATGACAAAGGAAAGGTTATTAACTCTGACCTGCAGCGGAAGGTCTTTAGATTGAGAGGCTAAACACAGGAACACAGTGACCAGGGAAGAACAATTTTTACCCATGTATGCCACTCATGCCACGAATCCAGTGCACTCAATGTATCAAAAAAAGCAAAAACAGTCGAGGTAAATTGGACCACCAATGACGGAAACCAGCCAATGACAGGTACACACAAGAAAGACCACACATACAAGACAATAAAGTCGCATAACATACAAACCAGAAGGATGCTTATCATTTCCGCCATACGTCACAAGTGGCTGATCCTCAGCCCCGTTCACAGGCAGTGGCATATCACTAATGGAAAGCCCACGGTCAGTTACGTCAGGACAACAGCCGAGCGCACCTGTAGTTGCCCTCATCCCTCACATTTCACAAGTAGAGGATACGAACTGCTTGGAAAGAAATGAATATGTTTTGGTTGTCAAGCCTTGACGCCAGTCTTGCATTAAAAAGGTACAATATGTTATTGATTATTGATATTGACAATATGTTATTGACAATATGTTATCGATTAAAGGTACAATATGTTACTGATTACATTAAAGATACAATTTGGCTATGTTTGACCAAATCAAACCTGGCAAACTGATTCGAAGAAGAGCTAACCGTTGCGTCTCATCCCTTCCACAGTCGACAACCTGGTCGGCTAACATCCCCATCCCATCCACATCCGCTCCAACATCCGCCGGCAGCCACGCCCCAACCCACCAGGCAGCCAATGGCTGCAGCGTCGCCAGCTGCGCTGGCACCGACGGAAGCCATCCCCGCCCGAATCACTTCACAACGTCTATACTGACCATCACCAGATGTGTGCGGAAACGGCGTGCGAGGGGGGGAAAGGGGTGAGACTACAGGTCCGAAGAACCGAACAGGCTGACCAGCTCTACGGCTCCATGCAGCTAGTGCAGTGCGGCGGCAAACGGAAGCACGAAAGAAATGAGATGTAGGATCTACTGACCTAACTGCCTTTCCTCGCAGTTTTCTGTCAGAAAAGAGAAATCATTCAGAGGAAAACTAGAATCGAGTGGTGCAGATGTCACATTCCGACTCATCCACAGGGGTGGCCATGACAGGATGGAACTCCAACAGGTATGTACAGCACTCAAATACCGGGAGGTGACTGCTGTCCTGTAAAACTAAATGTCATTATCTACGAAGTGTCAAAACTGTTAAGTGCCATTTTATGCCTTGTGGCTATTGAATCCAACTGATAACAGGCTGGCGGGTCTTTCGGAGTCTTAAAAGACCAACTCGTTGGGTTCAGCCCTCGTTTGAAGTAAGCACAACAGATTTAACGACGTCCGAGAGCCGTTCTACAGCTCCGAGAGCTAATCGGAGCTTCGACAGCCGCTAAACCGGCGCAGGGCTCGCGAGCCGCTCGACGACCACGCGCTCCGTTCACCCGCCGGCCGGCCGGCGCTGCCACTCACTTGGGCGGCAGCCTGTAGATGAAGGCGTGGCCGGAGTCGGCCCACACGATGACCCGGTCGGCGGTGAGGAACTCGCCGCGCTGCCACCGCTCGCCCTCGTCACCCGACGACGAGCACAGCACCGAGAAGTCGGACGCGTCGTAGATCTGCCGGGCACGCGGCACGCGCCGGTCAGGCCGCCGGTGTGTTCGGCATCGGCTGACGACGCTCCTGGAGTGTCCCCGTTGCGCCGCTGCTCGCCGTCGGCGCGCCTCGCAGCGAACCGTGCGTGAAAGCCCGAGAGGAATCCGGAAGACTGGACGGGAACGCCAGGACCGCGGCATCGCTTCCCAGCTACCGTTTGACGCGGCCCCGTGACGCTGCTTCTCCAACGAGGCGAATCATTTCCGCTTAGATTAAAGCCATGATTGAAAACATTGAAGAGTGATGTTTCACTGACAATCGCCACTGCGGCATTTTCAGGGGGGTTTCGACTATACTACGTTCGTTTAGCAGTCCCCATGCTAGCTGCCCCCTCCCCCCTGTCCCGCCCCCTACCGGGCGCGCCCCGTGTTCCCTTGCCAGGGACGCGAGACAAGGCGACGGTAGGTAGGATCGGGTCCTTTCGGGACACCAGGGCCAACGGCAACCGGCATCGACCAGATCAGCCGCGGGCAGCGTTCACGCTGACAACAATGGAGCAGTAGACGAACCAATGCCTCAAAAGTTCGCCATCATTTCACGTTTTAATCCTATTTTTCGCATGCTAACTTTTAGTCCAGGGCCACACGGAGGGGGGGGGGGAGGGGGAACGTTCGGTTCCCTGCGATATCAAGACGTGCCGACGTCATCTCGATCAGCTACGGCTAAAAATCCTTTTGGTGGTCGGTATTTTTTAACTCGACAAAATCTAAGAAATAAAATTTTATGAAAACGTCAACGTATGCACTAGCTCAAAAAAGCATGCATCCTAAACCAAGTTCGTGGTGATGCCTGTGTGGTACACCAATGAGACGTGTACCACTCATAACTGATGCCACTCTTCCCCATATTGCTATGCCAGTCACCAAGCCTGTGACTTATGCATTTGGCTCTCCGTCATCTGAGCTATGCCGAGATAAAAAAAGCCACTTTCCTCCGCTGAAATCTGGGCAGCAGCCTTTCAAATCCAGGCAATTGCTCTGTTTACGACTGTATGGGCGGCAGCCTGATGAAGCAGTGTGTTTTCTCGCGTGGCAGCAGTCAACAAAAACACCGGTCAGACCCGACAATGGGAATGGTCAGATAGAGCCTCCTGTATGGTCTCACAAAGCTGGCCTGGATGGAAGCCGACTGCAGCAATACCGCGGAGTGCTGACGTGCCGTGCTATGCTGAGGGAACGAATGATGTGGAGTGGATGAGTGGGGTGCTGTGGAGCAGATGAGTGGAGTGATACAGAGTGGATGGATGGGGTGCTGTGGGGTGGATGAGAGTAGTACTGTTGATTGGATGAGTGGAGTACTGTGGAGTGGATGAGCTTAGTGCTGTTGGTTGGATGAGCAGAGTGCTGTGGAGTAGACGAATTAAGTATTATGGAGCGGATAAATGGAAAGCTCTGGAGTGGGTGAGTGAGTGCTGAGGGATGAGCTGGTAGAAACGCGTCGCGGTGACCTAACAAGATGCACATTAGATAAGCCAGGTCACCTTGCTGCAGCACAGTGAAACAAAGTTATCCTTCACAGGCGGAGTATGGCGGGACCACCACGCAATGAGTTACCCAAACTAAATTCATATCTTTCACAACACAGTCAGAACTAAACGGCTGAAGCCCCAGATAAAACGACTTCAACAGTGGGTACAACCACGGACTGAATGCAGCCAACGCCCCTGACCTGCCACATGCTGGAGGACACCACGAGCACGGTGCGCGGGTTGTACGAGCAGCACTTGAGGAAGTTCACGCGCTGGACCTGATCCGCTGCTCTCGTTCTCGTACACGATGTCGCTGGAGCACTTTGCCCTCCATGCGGCTGAGCGTCCAGATTCTTCATCACACGCTGTCCGCGTTAATCGCCATGACGATGTCGTCTGGAGAAACGGTCACGAGTAACGGGCGTGGCCGCGTGCGAAGGCTAGCAAAACCAGCTGAAGCGGTGTCATCAGACTTGATAGCGATGCACAATGCCACACAAAACACGTCCATTTGTATCTACGGTATCTATCTATTCAAGCGCCATATTGTTCAAGGATGCCTCTTAAGCCTCGCGGCTGAGTCAGCCGACGATTCCAATTACTATGCTGCAGAGCACCATCAGAGAACAGCAAGGCGCTTTACTTCTTGCGAAGAATGAGGTCATCCGAATGTTTCGTTCGATTGGAAATGTGCATTGAAATTCGCACGTAAAGCACCGCGTACTGAGGTGCATGCTACAGTTGCTCATGCCATTCAGGCCAAGTGTGTACAGTCACACAAACATCTTTTCATCTATCTCTCCCCGTCTCTTTCTACGCCCACTTCTCATTCTCGCTCTTGCCATTGTTCTCGCTCTCCATCACCGATGGATATGGATAGCGGACCCTACGATCATCCGCGCGCACGTGCAGCGCCTGGTCCGCACCTGCCACCGCCTTCGGCTTGAAGATGTGCAGCGAAGTGACCCAGTTGGAGTTGACCTTGGACGACAGCCAGTAGACGACCTCGAGCGTGAGCGGGTGCACCACGGCGATGTCGGCGTACTCGCCGCAGCAGAAGAGCAGCACGTCGGGCGCGTGCTGGGGTAGGGCAGCAGCACAGGCAGCGCCGGCGGCCGGCGGCGTCGGTAAGAGCGGCCGCCACGGTGGCCGGACCGTGCGGCTGGCGGCGGCCGGCCCCCACGGCCAGACGGCCCGGCCGGCGCGGCACCGGGGCCGGCCGGACGGCACCGGGGCCGGCCAGCCGGCGCGCAGCGGCGACGCTCTCACACACCGACGCATGGCAACGCTCCAGCGGCACCCTATTCACCACTGAGTACGAATGACAGGCTTATAAAGTATCGAAAACATTGCGAAAATAATTTCACTGTAGCATGTAGGCATGATCTGGAACACATCTGCTCACATCAACATTCTGTCACACGTGCAAATGGAAACAATGCTCCTGGCAAATGTCTGGCATAAAAAGCATGTTCGCAGAATGAACATCATACACTCTGCCCAGATCCAGCATACTTTCCAGCGTGGCCAGCGGCATGTGCTACTCAACTGCAGTGCCACCGATGTATGCACCCAGAACCGCCTCCCTTAGATTTACATTCCAAAACCCAACAAGAAGTGAAAACCCTGACATCTGAGGCACCAACATGCAGACATATCGCGCGCACGCACGCACGCACACACACGTGCACACGTACACCTACCCACACCCCAAACGCACACGCACACGCACACTTACCTCGATCTGCCGGTGAATGAAAGACATTTTCACAGTCTCCATGCACTGGCCCTCGTGTAGATCCATACGCACATCTCTCTGCCGACAAGGCACGTCCGTGGTGAGTGGAGGCATGGCGCAACTACCGTACACGAATTTCAGCGGGTCAAAGTGTCATTTATCTTGCAGTCTGCCAGTATTCTCTATTCATATTTAGGAGCCTGAATGTCCAGAATGAAGTATCTACTATCTACTTTACTAATAGCTTCAACTGCAAGAAAGCCAACACGTTTATGACAAGTCGTTTAACCTTCCCAGTCGCCCGAGTCAGTGTGGGCATGTGCCTGCAAGCGCCCTCGGCGAACGCATACACACGCACACACATGCCACAGTGCCTCACCCGTTCAGGGCGGCGGAGACCAGGTATCTGTGATTAGTGTGCAGCAGGCCGTTACTGAGACAGACGATTCGAGCTGTGTGGCCCACCAGCATCATGTAGGGGTTCACCTGGAGACGGTCCAAACGAATGCCGGTCACGCACGGGGGAGTCCGAAGGCGATCCAGACAACGAGCAAGGTGTTGATTAATCCCGTTCCAACGTTCACATCAGGTACACTAGCGGGGGGTGGGGAGGGGGAGGTGACGGTAGTGTAGTCTTTAACGCGTCTGCGTTGACCACGTGGCATCTGGGAAACAAGAGGTATGGGGTTCGATTCCCGCCGTGCCCGCCCTTCCTGCCAGGGTGAGAGGCAGGCGACGCCATATAGCCTCAGCAGCTGTGTGTCGTAAAGCCCCAATGACAATGGCACTAGCAGGGGCGTAGTTTCGCAAAATGAGTAGGGCGGAGTAGCGAAAAATTCTGCAACCTGCCCCAAAATACACCAAAACACCGGTTTCTCCCGGCTTTGGTCCACTAACAGTGAACATCTAGTCACACTAGCCGTAACTACATGAAAAGCTACAACTGCATCCACCCTTCACGACCACGCTCGGCGCGAAGTCGACCCACTCCGTGCCAGCGCCAGACACCACACTGACTGCACTTCCACCGGTCCGGGGAAAGTGCCATCAGTGATGGCCCCCCCCCTCTCCAGGGGGGGGGGGCATCTGGCCGCGTGACCCCGAGCCGGCCCGCTGCGCACCTCCAGCGTGCTCGGGTTGCACATCCCAGGTGACGATCTGGCCGTCGGCGCCATCCTGTGACGAGCGTCCTCTGGTCGGGCGTCAGGTAGACGCACGAGATCCGGTGGGTGGGCGGGTGCCGGCCCCACAACACCACCGGCACGATCAGGCTCGGCCCCAGGCTCATGGTGACTGGAGGGTGGATGGGACAGTGACATCGGGTCAGTAGGGCCACATGGCCAACAAAGAGCATACACAAGCGAAACAGAGTCCACACAGGATTATGGTCTTGGAAACATTACAGTTCCACTTCATCCAAACAAAAGAGTACGAAATTTTGCAAAAGTTGGTTTGGAAGTTGCTTCACCTGAAAAATTGTCAAGTTCAAACAGGCAAGCACAAGAGACTACAATGACCAGGCTTAGCTAAAATTCATGCAAGACAGCCACAAATGACACAGAATGTACTGATCACCACACCCATATGTAAATAACTGTTGCAGGTGTTCTAACCCACAACCTCTGGTCATGATTTCACCCACCATCAGGACAATTTGTTGGCTTGGAGAACATTTGCAGGCAACATGTGATGAATTAAACAACATAAGCTGGTGGTAACTAACAGTCATAAGAGCTTCTCAATGACACACACTTACACTGTGATTAAACAAGTGTGTCCCCTCACCTGTCGCCCTTTCTCTTCTCCGCTGGCCAATCTACTGACAACTGCAGAAAATGCAAGGTTGGCCAACAACCCGACACCACCGCAGCATTGGGTCAGTGTACTGGAAACAAAAGATAGAGCATGCTGTCCTAATTTCAGCAAATCCCATGGTGCTCACATCCAACTTCTTCAACCTCAAACTCATATCACACTTCTCTTAGGTTTGCAAGGTTCACTGGAATGAAAAATAACTGAGTGACAAATTGTTTTCAAGAATAGGTTTAACTAAGAAGATAAAAAGAGTAACACTTTACAATATCATGTTGATGAAACATCAGCAGGTACTGAATATTGAATGTAAAACTACTGTTGCACATGCATACAAACATCTTCACTATTTCTGCATTGCATATCCACACATAGCTTTTGTTTTACTGGGAATTAGTTTGCTGAAACCCCAGAAAGCTGCATGATTATTTTGGTATTTTACACATCACAGCCAAGGCTTGAAATGAAGTGTATCTCTATTCAGGATAAATCATTGGTAAAAATAGCAGAATCAGCATATGGCTTGTGGTCATTAGACCCAAATAAGATGTGTAATTGTCTAAAAATGATCATTTTGCTCAAATCTATATTGTCAAAGGATATACCAGCCTTGTCTTGCAGTCTCTCACCATAAAAATGCATCGTACATTTCTTGATTAGCTGCAATTTACATGCTGCCTCGACAAATGTATAATCCATAAGGGGCTGCCCAACAAACAAATTAAACAGTTTTCACTATTTTTTAGTGGTCATCTACCATGGTAACCACATGGTTCTCTGAGCACTAAACAATTTTCCTAGTGACAATGTGTTAAGCTTGTCTCCCAAAAGCTTCACACCTGCTTGGCCCCTGGCTGAGCTCGAAGTAAGCAAGAGAGTGCAGTGTGTTATTTGTCATACAAGGCCAACATTATCCAGTCTTCAAGTCTTGAAATGTAAAATACTACCTTAATATTATTTTTAAGCACACTTGGGTGTAACAATAAGCTGTCTCAATCATCACTCCTTGTTATGCTTTGGTTATGCTCTATCAAAACCTCATCCCTCCTTTCATGCATGACATAATATGTATGGACCACTCCTAAGCAGTTTATCAACCATCCATTACCTTATTTACTGGGACATTGGATATAAAGACATAAAGACATCTGGCCACATAAAGACAAAGAGCCACAAGGGCCTATCAAGCCTGGCCTGCCTCATGTTCTGTCAACACCCTTGGAGTACCCAACACCCTTGACACCACCAACTTGAATTGCTTACATTAAACTATGCAGCAATCTTCCCAAGCCAGCATAAATATCAAGTCAGGACAGGATCATCATAGGTTTCAGTGCATAGCAGAAACAAGTCTTGATTTTTCATTAGTTATTATAAGGTAAGCAAATCAAAGACATATCTCATAGGAACAGGAATGACTTCACATAGTTCAATATGATACAAACAATCATCACACCATCCCATTGCAGCAACACCAGTCATAGAGTAAATTGAACCATTTATATTGAAAACATTTTGCTTACCAAAAACTGCTTCAGGGCTTGATATATAAAGTTAAAGTATACTCTTCTGATGCAAATGCTATTCTTCTTTTTGCCAGACATACTCTTTTTAAACTTGAATAATTTTGTAGAGTTTTGGCTACAGCAAGGAGCATATGAGAGGCAGGTGCCCTGTTGGTAATTTTGCTATGATGGCATCTTAGCCATGGCGCTACAGCTGCAGACAAGCAAAAAAGTGTCCATATAAGTTGCCCAGACTTTGGTCAGTGTTCAGAAGCAATATTTAAGGAATTAGTTCTTCTTCCTGTTCAGGCATTGGGAACTGTTCTGATAGGTTAAATTACTATACCAGTATACTGACATCACTAACTGACAGGCAGCACACAGAGACTAAACAACATTGCATCACATACTTGCCATAAATGAGCCTTGCCATATGATGTTGTGTTTTAGTGTATCTTAGGGGGAATCCTGCCAGAAATAAACCTACCAGTCCATCACATATCACATCAGGTACATAGGCAGGCGGATATGGCTTCAACTGATTAACAATGTTGGCCTCTGACTATAACAAACTGACAATGTCTGTACAGCACTGCATCACAACAATAAAGTGCTTAATCCCAGGATTATACGACCCAAGTCGTCCTGACGATTCCCACGAACCAAAATGAGCAGATATCCAATACTGATGAGTCGCATTAACCTCAACACTTACACAGGTACTTGTAGCACAACCCTGATCAATGAATTGCACTACCCCCTCCATAAACCAGAGCCTCCACACATACTTCTCAACTGGGCAAGATCTCACAATAACACTTACTCGGGAAGGGGGCAGTTATGGCGCAGGCGCGACAAAACTGGATGACATCAGCTGACTCCTAAGAAAAAGTAATGTTTTTCACGTTTCCAAAATATGTTACTATCAGGCAACATGGTTGTACCCGGTCAAGGTGCTACTTTGCCCGGCGGATACTGACAGCGTACGAACTTTTAGTGGCTTGTCTGGTGCTGCACGCACCGCGTGTTTTAGGCAGCGAGGCGGCCTGTGGTGCCTGTTTTGAAACTATATGATCATGCACTTCTTGGATTGTTATAATGATTCAGTACGACTTTGCTGACCTCGCTTATGCATAACTCTTGAAAGTCTTCTGCAAAAACGTGGGAGTATAGGCAGCGAGAGAAGCGAGTGTGTACTCATTCGCTTTGCTTGGCCAGATGAGCTTAGGCTTGGCTGAACATTAGGGTTTTCGCCGGGTTTAGCGAGACATTTTAGCAATGAACAGAGCAGCTGATGAGGCATGACGTAAGCCCACAGAACTTCGGATGTTGTTTGAGTTCGCTCTCGATCTCTCTTACGCTGGGTGTGTTGCTGCGAATCGCTCATTGTATCACCGGGGCTACGGCGTCTCCGTCGGCAAAACAGATAAGTGAAACAAACACATAGGTGGCGCTTGGGCTGTGGTCTCGTGATCTCTACGATCAGATGGCGCTACGCACGCTCGTATCGGCTCTGCAGTCCTAAAGCTTCCATGCGGATAGATGTTCAGGGGCTTGATGTTTAAGTACAGATGTTCGAAAATCCCGTTATTCCACATTGGTCCAACATTTGTCAGATTAGGATCCCATTTATGGAGGGCCCTACACTATCGGGGTCGCTCTTATCGCGGTCGCAATCTGGTAGCCTGCCGGAGCACTCTTGGTCGCTCAGGGTCCATCCTTATTAGTCTTGGGTAAATCTTCTCGCTTGGAAGGCACTGCATTGCTGTCCGGGGCCCATGTGTTCACCTGGCAAGGCACGCTAGATGACTTGGAGGCCCTCCGGAACCCTTTCGGCGGGGGAGGGGCTGAGCCCGCCCCCTCCCCCCAAGGTTCCAGGAGGCTTATCAAAGCATATCGATGTACTGGACCAACTGATCGAGCCCCTCGCGTTTATGTGGGTTTTTTCCCGAAGAAAAGCATAGCATTGCTTATATTGCAGGATCCGCACGTGAAATTGGGGTCGTTTGCTGGCTTAAAAAGAATGGTGAGCGACGACCCAACCATCTTGCGCGACTCATCAGAACGGTCATCGCCCCACAGCGTGCGTTTTCAATCATTTCGCACCTCATCTCTGCGTGGGTTGAGTGCTCTGCCCAGTCCTCCGGTGCTTACTAACAGCTAATACACTTGAGGCATTAACCACGCTAATTTATATTTACAATAGTTATTAATGCCAGATAATCAACATAAGCTACACGCTCCGCACCCCGTTGGTGTAATGCTGAACACGGCGGTCTCGCTCAAGGCAAGCGGTAGACTCAAGTGCATCAAGGCGCACCCGTGGGTCGGGCTCCCGCATGGGTTTGTCGCTCACAACGGAAAACATTTACCACGATGGACGGCGCAGGCCGACCCATGACATTATCGAGACCGGTCGCTGCACTTGGGCTAACAGGCGGACACCGAATTGCATGTGGATCGGAATTTGGACTTCTTGAGAGGCGGAGACTGTCTATGCAACGAGCAGCTCTTCGCAATGACAGAATTCGACGCATTTGAATCTGACGCTAGCCGCGCCTTCGTTCTTATAAACACGTATGGCTCGTTTTACGTGCATTTCATTCATAACGGGAAACAAACAAAAAGGTATACTCCTTGACAGCATGCCATTAACAATGCGTCCCCGTTCCGCGCGCACAGCCGCGCATAGCAGACAGGTCAGCCCTCCACGACACCCTGGGCCATGGCCTCCGGCAGAGACGGCTGAGGCAGCACCATCTCCGGCAGGGCGATGCCGCCCAGCTTCTCAGCCAGTTTCAGCACGGCGTCCTCCAGCAGCTGGTCTGCGGCGTCCTCGCCGGCCTCCCCAGCGGTCTTCTGGGACGACTCGTTGCCACCCGGCGCCTCCACTAGCACCTGGCACACGGGCGGCTTGGCGAACAGCGTGATGGCCTTTGGGATGTCCTCGTGCATCATCGACAGAAACAGCATCACCTGCATCTGTTCCTGCACGTCCGACGTGACGTCGCCCAGCACCGCGTAGATGTGATCCTTGTCGAAACGGCGCGTCATCATCGTGTCGACGTCGTCGAGCACGATGATGCGCAGGTCGGCCGCCTTCAGGGCACCTCGACGTAGCATGTCGAAGGCGCGCCCCAGCGTGCCCACCACCAGGTGGCAGCCGGCACTCATGTCGCGCAGGTCGTCGCGGATGCTTGTGCCGCCGATCGACAGGTGGCAGGTCAGTCGCGGCCGGATGAACGTCGCCAGGCCCACCAGCTCGCGATGCATCTGCTTGGCCGCCTCGCGGGACGAGGTGAGCACCAGCGCCTGGCAGGCGCGCTGCTGCGGGTTCACCTTGTTGAGCACGGCCAGCGCGATGGCCGCCATCTTGCCGTCGTCGGCGCCGTCGCCGCGTGCCTGCACCACCACGTCGTGTTCCTGCAGCAGCGCCGGCAGCACCGCCTGCTGGAACGGCGTCGGCTCGCTGGCGCCAGACGGACTCGCCTGGATGCCGGTCATTAGGTCCGGCTTCAGCTGTAGCTCCTCGAACGAAGTGACCGGCGCGCCGCGCCAGGTCGACTGCAGCGGCGTGTCCGAGAGGCCGCTGGCGGCCGGCGGCGCGCGGCCCTCGCTGGCCCGCTTGGCGCGCCGGTGGCGCCGCGAGCGCCGCTCAGAGCGGCGGTTCTTCTTGGGCCGCGGCGAGTGCTCGCCCGGCTCGGCGTGGCTGCTGTCAGTCTCGTTGGACGACAGCTCTTCGCCGGTGCTGGGTCGCTTTTCGTCCTCGACCTCGTCGCCGGCCGCGACGTGGCGCGGCTTCTTCACGTCCCCACCGCGCCGCTTGCCTGGCGCCGTGCCTTTCTTGGCCACCAGGTAGCTCACCTGCTTGTCGAGTTTCAGGATGCTGCGGTACAAGTTGTGATGCTCCTTCTCCTGCAGGTTCTGCATCACACGCATCTGGTCCACGCACGTCTGCAGCCGCTCGAACAGCTGGCAGATGTCGCGTTCGTTCATGGTCACAGACATGGTCCGGCGGCGGCGGGTCGGTCACTTAGTACTGTTAGAGCGTTGGACCTCAACCCATGCCGCGCGTGGGGGGAATGGCGCCGCGCGGCCGGCCGTGCGCCCGGCTCGGGTGAGCGCTGCGTGGCCCGCGGGGATCGGTGTTCGGCGGCGCAGTCTGCTTGCCAGGGGAGGTTCTGCCAGCGGCCGCGGCGCGCGTAGTGTGACGCCGCGGCCTACTCGGAGGTGGTCGGCGACCAGTTTTCGTAAAGCGCACCGCAAATCTTCGAAGTGGAGCCATGGGTTTTAATTGTTGAGACTAATCAACATAAATCATGTGACTGGTTGCATCACAGATTGGCATGACATAATATTCACACAACCTTTTAGAACATCACACCCCGTCCATAATTTAAGTTACATATGGAAGGGAAGTGGGCTTTGACGGAGTGCAACAGGAGCTTAGCAAGAGAGTGAGTGGGTGAGAGGTCTTGAACAGCGTAACATTACGCTCAGCGGTGGTTGCAATCATACCAAAATTTTCAACAACATGCAACCTTCAACCAATAGATATGCCGTGGGCACTAGAGCTGGTCTGACCCTCCCATTGTCTGGTCAGAACTGGTCAGACCCTCCCACTGTCTCATTGTGGACCACTTCATTGTCTTTTCTCGTATTTCCATTCCATGACAGACAAAATTACCTCGACCAACGCAAGTAACTCACTGATATTGAAAGTCCTGCCCTGTCCCGTGGAACAAAATGTGCCTCTGGTAGACTAGGAACTAGTCGCCGACACAGGGCTTCTTGTCAAGCACTCTGCGCCTTGATAAAGGAAGCTACTTTATTGCAGGGGCACCAGCCACCGCAGGAGGCCTTCAGGAGCAGTCACTGACACCGACCTTGTCCCCGCTTCGAAAATGGACTCCATGGTCTAAGTCGACATATAGCCAACTGGTCAGCACTGATGGTCTCGGGGCTACATAGACATCTTCCTCGTCCCGGGTACTCCAGACCGACCCTTGAGCTGACCTCTGAGCGCCAGGCGTTCATCCCGGAGGCGTCCCCCGGCCAGCCCTTCGGGCCCTCCAATCAGCCTCTTAATAGTCTGTGTCAAGGGTCTCGAAGGTCACTCAGGGCCTAACGTGATGATAGGTCCCCTTTGCCCTCCTCCCTCACGCCGTAAGCTGGCTGCGCCCCTGGATGTGTAGGATGTGTGAAACGGAATGCCAGTCAGAGACTCGTCCTCAGAACGCAGCTCCAGTGTGAATAATGCGTCCCCAACCATAAACAGGTTGATACCAGTCTGGTTTTAAAAAGTGGTCGTTTTTGCTGGTGGGCTTAATATACTAGATTGTGGAGAAAACGATTGTTGATTTCCTACTACAGTCTTGGTAATTTGTTTCGCTTGTTTGATGGAAACTCGGCCAATGTGGCGTATAATATCCTTTCTGGACATTTCATTCGTGTATCTGGTGACTTAGCTGGTGTATCTGGTATCTGATGACTCGTGACTATTTTTTGCGAAAAATGTGCTAAATGAAGCGAAAGTGACGCAAATGTGCCAAAACTAGGTTATTTTCAGTTTCTGGTACGAAGCATCAGTCGGCGCGAATAAGGCCATCGAAACGGACAGGTAGGGTCTGTGGATGTCCAGGTATTGCCAGGTATGTCTGCCGCAATACGGTATGAACTTTGTGTCCCGAAAAGCAGAGGTACCTTGTGGAATGCAAGTCGTGGTCCTTCCCAGCTCACTGTGCGAAACGTGCAGTTGACGGCGAGGGTTTGCAGGACAGCGCCTCGCTGGGCTGGAACAGTGGCTAACGTAGAGTTTTGGGGTCATGCCCCTCCCCACCTGTACCTAGAGCTTGCGGTGGCCTAGCAGACAACCATGCCACAGGACTTGTTGTGCGTAAGACGACCCGATTGATCAAAATAGAACTCGCATGCCAGTCAGCTATTTATCCCGGTAGATGTAAAAATGCCAGCTGGTGGAGAAAACCAGCTGCAAAGCTACCAAATGAGAGAAGTCTCGCTGGGCTGCTAGGGCCGCGTTCGATCCGTCGTCAGCGCGTTTATCAGCTCTGATCACAGCTCGGTATTCTCCTTTCGTCATGTCACGTGACCACAAATCACAAGGTCTGTGACGTCACGCGCCGGCTAACAGTGCTGCCGGGATGTTTTGTTAGCCCGTCATTGAGAGAAAGCGCTACAAGATAATTGAATCGCTCTGTCAAAGAAGCGTGAGTCTGTCGCGGGTACCTCTTACGTTTGATTACGTTAGGTTCCGTGGGAACAGTTGTCGCTTATTTTGGGATACTGTGACGTAGGATAACGGAAGGAATTGGATTGTCAAGAGTAGCCATGGAGAGGTTGGTGACAGTGATTAGTGTGGTGTTTGGTTGTGTTGAGGGTGTTGGACTGCCTAACGCAAGTGTAGCCGTCAGGAGGTGAGTGGTTGCGTTGTTCAGTAAATTAATAGCGTTGGAGTAATTACAAAAAAGGACAGGAACAGCGCACCTCGCGTCTCGAACACTGGCTTTGTCAGTGCAAGTAGGAGATAAAGGGACTCTTCGACATTTGCGTGGGGTTTTGAACTGAAATAACCATCTCGAAGATCATTCGGTGCACTTCACGGCCGTGCCATTATTATGACCTAAACCCCTTTAGTTTCTGAACTATACACCCACAAGGATATGCAGACTATTCCGGGGAGACTATTCCAAGGTCACCCGGGAATCCTACCGTTATTACCGTTGAGAACACTTAAAATGAAAAAGCAAGAAATTGAAATGGGATGAGAATGGGAAGGAGCACCCATCTCACGGGTGTGATAGATGTAAATATCGGGGCAGAGACCATACTTCCATATGCCACTTAATTGGAAGTGCGGCGGCGGTAAGCCAGAGCTAATGGGCTGAAGAAGTTAAAAGGTACATAAAAAGGAAGGTAAAGTTAAAAACTTTCCCTTCAGCCCACGCATCGAACGCTCCGTCAGCACGCATGACGTCACGCATTCCAGCTGAAAATCGTGCTGACGACAGATCGATCGGGCCTTTATCCGCGAGGTACCAAATGTAAACATCATGCGGTGCCACGGTTGCGCGACGACGTGACAGCTAAGGCCCTCTAATAAAAGCGCGACAGCGCGGGTGGCAGCGTTGTAAAACTCTTCAAGTCAAACCGGAGATCAGGAGTGCTGAGCGAGTTGAGCGAATTACGCACCGTCAAATTTCAAATACTTTCAAATGTGCGGCTCTGGTCAGATTACCATCACCGGATCCCTCGAACTATGCGCTTAACGTTTGACCTATAACACACTCTTGCCCATCATTGTCAATAATGATGAGGAACAGTGAAGAGAACAAAGACAAAATGGTACGCAATGACTCGTAAATGACCCATCAAGAACAAACCGCCACTAACTATAGGGATACAGTTTCACAAATCAGTCGGTGGATATGAGCTGAACAATGAGAAATGGTCTCCAATAATACATTTGTTTACTGCAGTAGCTGCCTGGGAGCACAGTGAGAAAACTTTTCCAATCTGGCAGCTTTGCAGCACATGTTATAGCACAGGTGGCGTTTTTTGTCTACCGATATAAATGCGCTGCTACGCAACCCAGGGCTGCCCGTCAGCCCGAAAAAGCATCAGCGACAAAATGGCTGTAACGACCGCGCGGTCGCTGTGACATTGAGGATTTGGCGGCCAGCCACATCACCAGACAACGAGCACATATATGCATATATACATATATATATATACATATATATATATATATATACATATATATATATGTGTGTGTGTGTATATATATGTATATATATATGCATATATATATATATATATATATATATATATATATATTTTTACGTCCATAACAACATATGTGTGTTTTGCCAGTCACCGATATACGGCTCGCAAGTGGCAGTGGCTGCCGTCTAGAGACTGCTCGTCCACTGTGCAGTGCGTAATGCACGTATATGGTGCATTTGCAACACCCGTTTGCACCATTGCGTGCCAAATTTTTGCTTTGTAGACTAGTTCACACAGCTATTTCGAGGTCACCCCAGGCATGCATGGTGCCATACAAATGTCACGCAAATACTGCCACATCATTAGCCATGTGGCGCTCAAGACCAAGACAAAATGTGATTATAGAGACATCCGTGCCTGGCATAGGTCAATACCACTTCTGGCATCAGCATGCCTCAGTTGGCCCTCAATCAGTTTGATGTGTTGAGGTTAAGCACATAATTCACGCTTTGCGATGCATAATACGAAACTCGTATATGAGTAATCGGACTCGTAATTCAGCGACACTGGGCACGAGTCCGAGAGCGGACACGTTGTTTGACCGACTGGAATGGAAAGGTCAGCTGACAGCTGGCCAACAAGGGTCAACCCTGGCCCGGGGCAGCCGTGTCGCATCATTGTGGGGCACGTAAAACCTTCCGTATTCCTGTCTGGTGCAAGGGCGGAGAAAAAGTTACCCGTTGAACTGGAGGGTACGACTTATATGGTGGGTTCAAGGTGCACGCAGCAGGCTGTGCTTAGCAGTTACTGTGAGCCCAAAGTCACCCATACAAACCGTTCGGAATAATTTATAAAAGACATGAGTATCTGCGGCACGGAGCGAAAACACTGACTTCACCTGGATAAAAACCACGACCCTAGGGTTGGTGGTCCCGCGCTCTATCGACGGCGCTGACGCGATCTACAGTGTTCAGAGGCAAATGGGCTAGCCTTAACGTAGTACTGTTAGCTATTTCGGTGATTTTGGATTTTGGTGATTTTGGTGATATCTTATGACCAGTCTCTGAGTGCTATAGTCGAGTGGTGATGTCATGTCTGAAGGGGTATGTGCCACCTTTGGGGATGCTGAAGGAAACGTCAGATATGGCGAATAATTTCACTGTTAGCGTGCCAACTAAATGTGCTAACTATACTAATGAATGAATGAATGAAAGACTGAATGATTTAGTTATACTAACGAAGCATGCTAGCTAACTGTGTAACTGTACTCACCACTAATTATTGATATTCTTTTAGGTGGAAAAGAATGCTCTAGACAACACCCTTTCTTTGTTAAGTACATACGCCATTGTTTACTTGCGTCATCGTACCCTACACAACATTGATTGAGTGACAACTGACGGCCAATTGAATTGATTGACATCTGGGAATCGTGCTCACGAACGTCATATATGAAGACTCGACAATATATTTTTCTTGGCCTTGATCGCCGCATGACCAATGGGATGACAATATTTGAATGGCGTTATTATGGCGCCATGGATGCCTGGGTGACCTTGTAATAGTTCCCCGAAATAGCCCGCACATTTTCGCGGGCATGTAGCTCGGAAACTAGAGGGGTTTAGGTCTTACGTAGGGCAGGGCTGTGAGATGCATCAAATGATCTTCAAGGTGGCTGTTTCAGTTCAAACCCCGTACGAAGGTGAAGAGCTCCCTTTAACCAATCGCCATCTTTACCCGCAGGGACACACCCCACTTCTTACCGGCAAGTCACGAGCAGAGCGAAAAGCCAACTCAACAAAAGATCATGGGATCGTGTCAAGTGGTGATCGAGTACTGGTAAGTCGGAAACGAGATAATCTTCTGGCAGTGTCTCAGAGCGAGCTTCTGGGTGGTCTTTGCCACACTGAGGCTCATCAATCAAATACTAGGGACGATTCCGAGAGCATGTAGAGAAACTTGTGGTTACTTGTGGTTACATTACAGAGCAACTTGTGTGGACATTTCCAACTTTGTCCGTCCCCACGTTGAGCGGAAAAAAATCGTTCTCTGCGATTGCAAAGTGTGTTCCCCAGTTATGACCACTGTAGCAAATTCATAATTTCCATAGCAAAGGTAGACTCAGCATCGGGTCCGAGGGAGGAGAGCTGTGATTTGCACACTATTTGGGGCCGGGATCACCAATATTTTCTGCTGTTTGATTTTTTAATTACCACAGTCCGGGGGCTCTTAACAAGCTATAGGTTATGCACATCATTTGCCGTGAAAATTTGTCGTCATTATTGGCTTGAAATTATATGTCGATCGATTAGTTTCGAGGATTTGGCATGGCTTCGTATTACCGCTAAGAAACAGGGTAAAAATGAATTTGTGATAGTTCACTCTTTGAGACTTCGATGTCGCCATGATGGAGTCATGACCTGTCACGATTTCAAGCTAGTTTTATGACATTTTTCGCAAAGCAAGCGCGATGACTGTGACATGTACTTCTTTTAAGTTGGCAGCGTTTTTAATGATAAGTGTTTTTCTGTAATACCAGAAGCTTCTTTGGAGAGGAGACAACTTTATTACTTTCCAAAGTTCAAAACGTACCGTGCTGGGGAGGGGCTGGTTTGGTATTCGTAGTTTTAAGCGTCTCGGCTGTGAATTAACTGTACTGAACTATTCAGTTCATTTGAAGGAGCTTACCGTAAAATCGTTTGCTGTGTAAAATGTAAAGTAAATAATTTGATTTTCTGCCCGTTCGTTCGGCATTTCTCTATTAAAACTAGGATTTTTCTCTGATTTTCTCTTTCGGCTATCATGATCCTGCAGACGTGATCTTAATGCGGCGCCAGTGGGAAGGAAATGTACATGGTGGGGACGCAGTGGTGGAATAGCTGGCGCCTTCAGGTTCCCCAGAGGAGCCCATGTTAAAAACCCGGTTGTGCCATGGCCCTTGTGCGCTGACTTATATGGCCACCACGGTTGCCCCGTAAGCCACCGCGCAACGACGTGTATGGCGTTTTCGAACAACAATTAAATTTTTACACCTGGGTCAATAGGCTAGACGCCTGCCTCCCGTTCTACCCGAAGCAGGGATGTGTTGGTTCGAGTCGCTTCGGCGCTCTCCATTTACTCCTGACTGGGATGGCCTGCGGGACGTGGCAGCGGCCGCTCAAGGTCAGACCGAGTTACAGGGCGGAGCAGACTGCGCAGAGCATCACGGCACTTCATACCTCCGCCACGAGATTCTGCGCTGAACTGCAGTTTCACGACCGGATATTGGTGTCAGGGTTCAAACACAAATCACCGCTTTCCATGAACTCTATCCCAAAAGTTAATCCGATCAAAGATGTTGAGGTTTTTTTTAACCACTGTCATGGCGGTGCTTAGTCCGTAGCGTGGGAGTCGAAGGTCAAGCTCAAACTGCAAAGCGGATACAGTTAGCACGTTCCCGGGCAGAAAATAGCCTTCCGCAATGACAATGGTCTGCTCATGACATCGGAAATAATCCTAGACGAGGGTTTTGGCAGGCCCAATCACCTGCCATGTCCAGTCTCTTCCAAGGCAGTGCTGATGGACACGTCCGTCAGACAGGCTTGTGTGTGTGGTGACAGGTTAACGAGCTGTTTGAATGTGCACGACAGTACCCTAGTTTAGGAGACCAGATGTGCTAAGAAAGGCTATTTTGCAATCCGCCGATTGTTTGGTTGTAGGTACCGGATGTGCATAGATCGGCTGGTTAATCTCACGACTGCTTAATGCTGGGTGCTGGGTGTACGAAGGTAAGCTATTTGATACCATGACCTTTGGCTTTCTGAGGAACCAGAGGTACGGGTTTCGGTTCCTCGCGATGCCCGCCCTCCCTGCCAGGGCGAGATGCAAGCGACGCTATATAGCCCCAGCAGCTGAGTGCATCGTAAAGCCCCAATGTCATGACCTCCGGCTTAGGTGCCGTGCACAGCGGGTGCGGGACACGAAGCGCTGTGTTTGTGTTTCAGCGGCGGATGAGGGTACGAGCCCCGGTACCGGAAGCTACAGGAACTGATCCAGTCCAATGTACCCGGTGCCGAGGTTCAAGGATTCATCGGCAGAACCAGTAAGTGGGGTCGTCTGACTGCCGGTCTCGCTGGCGTGCATTCTGTTCCCCGCCGACTATGTGGCTCTGTTCCGTGCAATGTGAAAGCTGGCTTATGGGGGAACGCGAGATGGCTGCAATGTCCATTTTTCCACTTTTCATATCGCTCCCTCTTGACTTAGCCCCTAAATAATGAACGCAGACTAGAAGGGCTGTAGCCTTACCCAAAACAATGGGGGCGGCGTTTGTTTTAACCGTTAGGTTCTGAGTCAGCTGTTAGTTCTGTTGTTTGCTGCTGCTCCGTGAGTTGTGCTTATCGCCATTCAGATTTTCTGCGTTTTTATCCTTTTCTCGCCTCAAGTCTTGTGATCCAGGCAGTACCAGCTAAGGATGAAAATCGGACATCACGCAGGCAGCAAACCTCGCCTTCTGGTATGCATGACGCAAACGCATTTGTCTCTGCAGGCTCCTTCGAGGTGAGAATCAACGAGCGGCTAGTCTACTCCAAGCTGCAGGAAAAGTCGCTCCCCAACTTCGAGGAGGTGGTTGCTGTGGTGAAGGACGTGTCGGACGGCCGGCCGATCCGGCAGGTGGGGGAGAGGCAGTCTTCCGCGTGCGACATCGTGTAAGGCAGCCGCGGTCCCTGCACCATCCGTCCAATCGGCCCACGCGGTCGGCCGCCCCCTGACTACGTCCAGAGGGAACGATTACGCAGTCGCCCGTCACACCATCCGGACACATCTCGGCTTCAGCAGCGGGCTGCAGTAGCTGCTTCGCTGTTTGCATTATGCCACGTTGGGCACCCGCGGAGTTAACTAGCCCGCAAATGATGTTTGGCAGGCCTTGTCTCATTAGCGTCACGTGGCAAGAGGAATTTTCACTACTATCACTGCTGGAGGTGCGCACCTGCTCGCAATTTCGTCCGAGTTGAGCTAGAGATACGAAGCAAAAAGTTAATGACAGCCTGGTGTGTAAGAAGTTGGGCAATGTTTTTTTCGCCTTCTGGAGGCGATCAATGACCCTCCAGGCTACGTCCACCACTTGAAAAAACTGTGCCACCTCGAAGCATAAAACGACCTGTTTAGAGACAATCAGATACACGGTCGCGTTTTAGGGCTCAGTGCAAACAAGTGACTTATAACTGGTCTAAGTGTGTACTAGATCGTCGTAGGCTGTTAACCTAGCTCACTCTTGAAAAGGTCATTTATTATTGAAATGTAACCTTATGTCTGCAGATCGTCATCCGATAGTTTTTTATGGCCAGAAATGCCATTTTTACCATTGAACAGCAAAAGCTAACGTATGTTGGTAAAATTTGTTCTGTTAATCTTAAGAGATGACGTGCCGGCCATGTGGCCTGATGTGACCTCGCATTTCATTTGTTTTAAATGGCGTACGCAATCGACAACGCCAAATTTTACGCCGCTGCCATTAGTCGTTTTCCCTGCCCGGAATTATGCTGATTATGGAAATATTTCGTCTAGCGAGGATCAAAATACCCCTGTTCTACCCAAAGCGAGGGGCACGCGATATGGGGACATTGTATCGTTAATTTAGCTTCATGGCTGGGTTCCTTTGAAATTCGTTGCAACTGTGTCACGCATTTCTGTGCTCCAAAAGTGTAATTGACCGACATTCTACGACGCTCCTTTATCCAGAGGGCATGGTTTACCGTCTTAGCTGTGAGCCAAAGACAGAGCTGACTACCCGTGATGGGTTAAGAACCAATTTGGATGAAAGAAGTGTGACATACGCTTGACTGGTGGTTCTCAAACTGCAAAATGCGTAAAAGGAATTTAGTAATTGTTGGGAACTGGCAGATGGTCTTTCGTTTTAATTTGAATCGCGACTACCTTGCCACTTGAGAGACGCTTTTTGGGTGCATGCTTTGGCACGTTGAAAAATGTTTTGATTAATCGCCTGCTCAGATTTTCTCAACGCACGGAAAAGGGCCCAATCGCTCCACCCGTGAATCCCATTGTCTATAATAAGTCATCAAGTTCCCATTGCTTTGTGGCCTCGAATGCTTTAAAGATCATAGAGGTACTTATCACCCAGTTCTTTGCGTAACAACAGGACCGTTACACTAGTAATAAACTGAGCGTATACGTCTACCAAGTGTCATGGCTCTCAACTATGAGCTCGATTTTCTCCACTATTTTGTATCGCCAGCTTTACTGCAGATGTAACGAAACTGAAGCTTCTTGGCTTGTGAGAATACCGTCGATATGCTTATTAAAGACACCGGTGTGCTGAAATGGACCGAAAGTCAAATTCACAGTGGGCTGATTTTTCTGGCGGATTTTCTTTTCCAGCAGCCTCCCTGTGTATGTTGCAATGGTATTTCGAACTGTATGACTTCACATGTCTTTTGTCCACAGCAGTTGTCCATAGCGTTAAAATGGAAGGCAACGTACGGAAGTGGCAGCGTGTAGGTTTTATGATTTAGCGGGCTGAAACAACTTGCGTTTGCAACGTTGTAAACTAAAGTTATCTTGGACGTCTAGCAAAGACGGTTTTTGGTTAAGTTCCATATATTCTCCCATCACCACGGGGGAGTACTTTTACACTGGTTGTACAGAAAAATGCAATAAGAATACTTTTATTGTCGCTACCCATATTATGTGCTTCATGGTACCATTTAGGCTTATAATGTCATGCTACTTACGTGTGCGATCTTCGTTGTTTTGCATACCTGCTATTTAAATATGATGCATTGCTTTTACGTCAGCATTACATAACATTGCAGTTATGTATTACGATATGCTTATCCATAGATATTTACATTATGCTACTGCTATTGATCCTTGAACACTCACCGACACTACGTGTCCGCGGACGGTCGTGTTCACCACGGTGTCCTATGTTCTGGGTGGGACGCCGATGTTCGATACCCGCTGTTGACGTCCGTTGGAAAAGCCGAGTGTGGACTGCCATGTCTGTCGAGGCTATGTTACGCTACATGAACTAATGTTGACGCACACGCATTGGGGTCGTGCCTCTGTAGGAGATTGGACAGGATGTCAGGGATGGGCCACGTAGGCTAATGTTGACGCACATGCATTGGGGTCGTGCTTCCGTAGGAGATCTGACAGAGATGCCACGCCGATGGCTGACTTGTGTCCAGCTTAAGGTTGCTCTTTCGGGACTTCGCCTCCCGCCTGGTATTAATCGGTACATTTGACCTGGTATTATGTCGCTAACTGATTAGCACTCACCTCATGCCGTCTTCAAGTAAATAATGTAAGATTCAGTGGGCAAAGCCGGGAAATGAGGCCGGAGAAGCAACGAAGAATTACAACCTTGTCAGAAGGCCTTTATCGGGACTGATTATAGGGTGTGTTACATATTTTGGGTGCTCGGAGGCCCAGGGTACAGATGACAGTGCCGTCCAAACCCACAGCAAGAAACACCAGTCCGCACTACTCAGCATAGTCATACGTAGCCACCGTGTAGTGCTCGGGCGCGGTATTTCCCCGCTGCCCAGTGAAGTGTATTCCCATGTCCCGCGTAGCGTGGTGCCCCGGTGCTGTGTCCGTCCGTAGCTGAGCACTGCGATCGCCTGGCAAATGGACCGGCCTCGTCTCGGGCGGCGTGTCACGTGACCGGCGCCAGGTCGCTGTATGACCGGCGGGCCTGAAACTAACCGGGGACCGCCGCGAGATCACGCGACAGGCCCCGGTCACGTGATGTCCCACCTGTGATTGCTGGTATCTACAGAGACTGCTGTTTAAATTGTGTCCTTGAATCGTGCAATCTGTACTTCGCTCGTTGCCACACTTTCTCCGTCCCCGTTATTGGTACGAGCTCTTGCGCTGCGCGTCGAGCGCGCGCTGTCGGCCGTTGGCGCGTGAGCAGAACCGGCCGGCCGCGCGCCCCGTGCAGCTCGGTGCTCGACAACGTGCGCCAGTGTCCTGCTGCACCCCGGCTGGGAGCGGTGCTTCGGCGCCCCTCCCCGGACAGGCGGGCAGTCGTTATTGGTCAGCCGTCTGTGGTCGGCTGCGCGTCAGCGCTCTCGCCCACCGCACTCCAAGGCTAGTGGAATGTTTATCCCCGTTCGGTGTCCCGTTAACTGAATGAAAATATACTCCCGGTTCTCATCGCCTCGAGCAATTTATGATGCAGACAGAGCCGCTTCACCTGAGTGTGAATGACGCGACATTGTCCAGCGGAGTTCCGAGCTGACCAGCATGTGATCCAGCAGAGCTGCCAACCAACCGCCCCCACCAGCTGCTGGTGTGACAGGCGACGACCTTTGCAGAAGGGACACCGCACTCGCCCGCCTAACAATAGCAGAACATCGGCGACATTGGGAGTGGTAAAGGGACAGGACATACCAATAAAAACGCAGCCCATATTATTTGTTGGGAGATGAAATGTGCAGGACAGCGCAATTGTTGGTAACAAAATATCGGGGGCGCAAGACACGCGTGCAAAACATGATGGTGAATCGGACGCAAAAACAAATCACCCCGTATTTTCCAAGGAACGACTTATTTGTAGAGCGCTTATCCGTATACCCGGTTAGTTACGCTTTTGTCGGCGACCAATCTGCACAACTTACACTTGGGCCCCACCCACATATTGGTCATTGGTGTGGTAACTTACAGATTCAACGACTGTTGCCTTGAAAGGAAAGAGAAAGGCTTAAAAGCATTCTGTGGTCTCCTTTTCCAGTGATATAAAACGAACCCAAATGTTCCGGATTTTTAAGATCGCATGCGCCCCTGCTGATGTCAAGGAAAACAATGCATAGGGTTAAAACAAGACATATCCAGAAGAAAATCAACATTGTGTGCCGATGCACACGCCCAAGACTGGTATGAGGTCTTTTTTGGAATGTTCATGACATTCCTAATCGGATGGTGTTTAACGTGCGTCATGTTTGTCGATATTCAACAGCTGACCTAATTTTAACCCCCAGGCTAAAATTGGGTCAACGATTTTATTTTTATTTCAAATTAGTTTAAGAAAACTACGTGATCCACAAAAAAAACATTTGCATAACAAGTCAGCGCACCGTAGGCTATCGATGGTTCCAGTTTGGTTGGAATCGAAGAAGTCGTTAATATCCGTAGAATACATGAATATCGAACTGCTTATCCGCATCTTGTTGCAAATAACGAGGCAAACCACTTCAAATACTATAGTCGATTTGCTCATAGGAAACAACTATGGAAGGCCAGGTAAAAGCAAGGCATGACATAGTGATCAACAAACATGAAAGATCCGGTAACTGAAGTGAACTTTCGATATCTCGCCGTCGGATTGCAAAAATGTCGCTCGAATCACACTGATCGAATTACTGATGACAATTGAGTCATGCATCGCTGTAAACCGGACTACCATGTGCGTTTGCCACCAAAAAATTACCCGTTAATATTTTTGAGCATTGCTGACTGATGTTGACCTTCGGTCAGCAGCGCAGGCAGGGGGCAGGCACAAGGGGTACTTCGGGCAGGGTGCCCGAAGGGCTCCTCGGAGCCTACGATTAAGGGCCCGAAAAGCCAGCTAGAGGTCCCATTCAGTTGTCCTGGCCCGCAGGGTCGGGCACTCGAATGCCGGTCAAGGGGCCCTGTGCGCTGATCAGGGGCCCACTGAGTCGATAAGGGCCTATATTTCAGTCAGACGCCAGCAGTAACGCACAGTCTGTTTCGTGGCGACATGGGCCTGAGGGTCCATTTCCCAAGCAGGGACAAAACCGGGGCCAGCAATTTTCATTGCTCGGGGCCTCAAAGCGTCTAACAGGGGCGCTATGTTGGCCAGCGATCCCAAGTCGGCCAAAGGCAGTGTTCAAGGAGCCCCGAAGATCCTAGAGAGCCCACCCGGTCCAACGGTCGAGGGCCAGCTTGAAGGATCTAAGAGCATAAAGCGCTAGGCGGAATCTTATGCAGGGATTCAAATCTGCAAAGGCGGGCTCTTACAGGACGGTCAGAGAGCCTTTTTGTGCCGATCGGAACCCCTGAGTCGATACGTACCTATGTGTCGGTCAGGTACTATCAGTACCGCACAGTCGGATCCGTGTCGGTATGGGCCTGTGGACCCACTTCCCAATCAGCTATATCAGCTATAAAGCCGGGGCCAGTACTTTACACTGGTCCGGGGCCCCTTTATCTGTCAGGGCTCACAACGCTTAACAGAGGACCCTGTGCTCGCAAGGGCCCCGAGCCGACCAGGGGAGGTGTTTGATGAGGTCCGAGGAGGATCCCGGGCGGCCCGCCGGAACCGGCAATCAAGGGCCCGGTTGGAGGGCAAAAGGACCCGAAAGACTGGCTGTAGGTCGCATAAAAAATTGAGGCCCTTATGGTCGTGACCTGAAATATCAGTCAGAGGTCCTCTTGCACCGCTTTAGGAACCACTGAGACAATGCGGGTGTCGGTCAGAGATCACGAACACCGAACAGTCGGCTCCATGTCCGTCAGAGCCCTTGAAGCCCATTTCCCCAGCAGGAACGAGGCCGGGGTCCGCGCTTTTTAATGTTCAGGGTTCCTAACACAATGAGGGGCTCCTGTGTCGGCTACGGGCCACGGTGCCGAACGGAGGCCCTGCGGCGGCAAGTTGGCCCGAGTCGGAGCGATGTTTTAGTGGGCCGAAGAGGGGCCGAAGGGCCTCTAGAGACCAAAGATCAAAGGCCCGATGGGACGGCTGAAGGGTCCGAAGGGCTGGCTGTAGGTCACATTAAGGACTCGTGCCCGTAGGGCCGTGACATCAGATGTCAGTAAGATGATCTCTTGCAACGATGGGGACCCCTGAGGCAGAGCGTTCCTCGTTAGCGGCCAGAGATCACGAATAACCAACAGCCAGCTCCGTGTTAGTCTGAGCTCTAGGGGACCATTTCCCAAACAGTGACAAGGCCAGGCCCGCGATTTACATCGGTCGGACTCCTGTATCATTCAGGGGACCACAGTGCCTAACGGGGCGTTCTGCTTTAACAAGGGGCCTCGAATCGGTCAGGGGCAGATTTGTTCAACAGGGGCGGGGACGGGAGTCCGAGTGGCAGAGGGACTCTTGCGTTGGTCAGGGCCCTCTGACAGTTGAAGAAAACAAGAGCTTATGATGAGTGTTCACATTGAGGTAATAGAAGAGTCCTGTGCCAGTTAGGACCCCCAGTGTTGAACGGCGGGCCCTCCAACCCTTTACCAGCACGAGCCCGTTAAGCCGAACTTGAGTCCATGTGCCAATTATTTGATCACCTGCGGTGAGCAGGGATGTTGTTAATGACAGTCATGCGTCGATCCGGGGTCAACTGCGCGGGTCAGAAGACCTCCTGCGTCAGGGAGAGGACCAATGTGATATGATGTATCCCTCTAAGGGCCTCCGAATCGGCCAGGGGATGCTCCCACGTGTCGCTAGAATGACGACCGGAAAACACACCGCGGTGGGACAGAATGGCCCCTTAGCTCTTGACTGTGCCCCGTAATGTTGTACTCTAAGGGCCTCCACACATCCATTCTGCATAGTGGTACAGTTTGTTAAAACTGGATTTAAGAAGTGGAAAAAATATTAAAATAATTATTAGAGCTCAGCTTTAGAATACAACTTCACTGTTAAGAAATTATCATTTTCTAAAGCTAGAACATTCTTTTTGCTCCTATTGTGGGGCTCTCTAACCTGCTCTATGCCCAAGTCAAATTCCGGCCATCTTGTTTGTCGGATTCGTGGCGCGTGGGGGGACGCCGCATATTGCGTTTAATTGCGGATATTGAAGGCGGTTTAATATCGGGCATCACTAAGTGGTATCGTGACGCCATCTGCGTACGCGCTGTTAGTGAAGTTGTGCTTGGAATTGGTCCCAGAATCTCCGGATAAAAAGTGCGTCGCGGGTGTTCGTTCTTCCATTGGACAAGAAGCCAGAACGACCTGGTTCAGTGATCGTTGATTTCCATCACATTTTTATTGGGGTCTCCCGTGACAGGGTTCTTAACTTTCCATCCGAGCACAATGTCTGGGCGCAACGAATGTAGGATATATGTTGGGAATCTTCCTCCTGACATTCGCACAAAAGACATCGAAGATCTCTTCTACAAATTTGGGAAGATCGTGTTCATTGATCTCAAGAATCGGAAGGGACCTCCCTTCGCATTTGTAGAATTTGAAGACCCCAGGTTTGTACTGCATATGATTGATGTGCATGACAGGATGGTTCGGACCAGTTGAACCTGCATGAAGGATGATGGGAGTGTGTGTTAGGTTGACCAAGGATGGTTGAAATCTGAAGTTGTTTGTAACCATTGCCTTGGTAACTATACTTCCGGCCTGCATCATTAGGTGCAGTACAAAGTATTGATCTCTGATAGAGGGTTCATGACTTCATGTTTTATCCTGTTCCAATGCCTATTGTGGAATTAATTTAAGAGATGTGGTACTCAAGTAGTTATATGTGGTTTACAGAATGTCATGTGTTATGTATTTGCTATGTGGCTAATGTGCCTATTGTATACTTTGTTGAACTTCAGCTATCTCAGTATTGCAGATGTGCAGAAGTTCTTGTTAAGATGTGACAAAGGGGTGATTTCTTTGGTTACTTTCATGATGAGCAGTATATTATTTTCTGAGCCCGATACCACTGTGCTCATGCATGGCAAACAGGGTAGAGAAGATACCATAACCTCTCTTTCACCATATTTTTGTTTGTTTTTGCAATGGGCTGCTTCTGACAGAAAGTTGAAGGTTAATGTGATGCCCTGTCTTCACCTCTGTTCTCTGCAAGAACATCCTTACTGCATTTATGCCATTGGGTGTATCTTGTGCTAATAAGCTATAGAATTAAGAGCATTTAATGGATTTAATTTTATGAACCAAAGGATGCTTTTCAGCTAAGAGAAAAAAACAAATATATAAAAAGTTTCACTGAAAATGTGATAATTCATCCACAGTATCACAAGTTCATATGGTAACAGTAGTGTCTATTGCTGATCATAATGCTTGGTATGCCTTATTGCTTGGGAAAGTTCACATGATGTTCAAAGTTTCAAAACCTGTGAATAGGTATCAGGCATGTGAAAGTGACAAGTCCAAATATTTTTCAGATTATGTGATATGTACTCAAATTCATCTGCCATTTAACTGCATTATATGATGTCCATGACATACCACAAGTTGTTGTTGCTAAATCCAGATATATAGATCTTCATATTATGCTCAGATGCATTGCCCCCCATTATGTCCAATGGTGTTATATCAGAATTAGCTTTATAAGCTGCCATTTCTCTTAAAAGGTCTCCTGTAGGAGTGGACACAATATGCACTATCCATTTCCAAAAACATGCCCAGAACAGAAAACCAGATGGCTATTATTACCCAGATATTCTCAAATTAGTGCCAATTACATTGTTGCCTGAACTAAATTCAAGGTTCATTGACATTTGTGAAGTTGTCAGGCCTGTATTTCTCAAGTACTGGCAGATATACCAAACATGATAATTATTGAGGTGGTGCACACTTGCTTTTCATTACATTACCAACCAACTAACATATTTCATAACCAATGACATATTTGATGCAAAACACATGACTTGGAACATTTGAGTAATTTAATTAAAAAATATGAATCTACCATTACACTATTGTACCTATTATGATCATTGTGGCCTATACCTACCTGGCATGTCCATATTCCAAATTACCATCACTGCCACCATGCAAGCTTTATGTTGCGATATGATATAGTCTGTAGGATTCTTGGAAGAAGATTTCGCCCAGCACTCATTACGGTTCAAGTTGGATCTGTGTACCTTTTAACCTCCCATACTTTTTTACTCTCCCTGCTCTCACACCCCAGTGCCATACCATTTGGGACTTAATGGGGTTTTCTCCATTTTTACACCCTTATATGTCTTGTTTGGATACTTGATTGTATCTTTTAGGCAACATCCCACTTTGCTTGACTGAACTAAAAACAGCTAATGCTTTTTTTTGGGGGGGTTAGAAAACTATAAGAAAACATCAGTATTGGTCAGGCTCCATGTTATAACATAAAGACACAGCCTGAATCAGTTATGCAGCTTTGTGATGCATGCCAAGGTGACAGGGGCTGCACGTGACACGGCGCGCCGCCCTCTCGCGGTGTGACGGTCACGCTGCTCCGGTACCCGGCAGGGATGCGGACGACGCCGTGTACGCGCGCGACGGCTACGACTACGACGGCTACCGTCTGCGGGTGGAGTTCCCGCGCGGCGGCGGCCCGGGTCGCGGCGGCATGATGGGCGGCCGCGGCATGATGGGCGCCGGGCCGGGCCGGGGGCCGCGGCCCGCCGGCGCGCCGCTCTCAGTACCGGGTGGTCGTCACCGGCCTGCCGCCCACCGGCAGCTGGCAGGACCTCAAGGACCACATGCGCGAGGCCGGCGACGTCTGCTTCGCTGACACGTACAAGGATGGCACCGGCACCGTCGAGTTCCTCCGCTACGAGGACATGAAGTACGCAGTCAAGAAGCTGGATGACTCCAAGTTCAGATCGCACGAGGTGGGTTGGCAGTCTGGTCGGTGGACTCGTGACCCCCACACACACAAGGCCTTCAAGTGGCTTTAGAGTTTCATTTGTACTTAACCAATTTGACGTGTTCGTTCTAGAGTGATTGACTCTTTGTGGCTCCCCTTTGAAGCATGGAAGCTTCTAGACGGATGATGGGATGATGGGATGGTAATTCGCTGGTATGATGACATGTACTGGTGCTGAGGCGAGGAAGACCTCAGTCTTATAGACTGAGTTGATGCGACGATACATGTCATCAGTGTGTCCGCGTTGGTGTTTTTCACGTCCTAGTGCGCTGCGCGCCCTTGACCTGCTGACCTGGTGCCGCCAGGGCGAGGTGTCGTACGTGCGTGTGAAGGAGGACGCCGGCGGCAGCGGCGGCAGTGGCGGCAAGCGGTCCCGCTCGCGCTCCTACTCGCCGCGCCGGCGCAGCTCGCCCTACCTACTCTCCCGTGAAGCGCTCCTACTCGCGCTCGCGCTCCCGCTCGCAGTCGCGCGAGCGCTACTGAGCGCGCCGCGCGGCGTGCGACACCACCGCCCGAGGGGGAAGACCAGACGTCCGCATCAGCAGCAGCGGCAGCGGCAGCGGCAGCGGCGGCCACCGCCGGCCGGACCGACCCGGCAGTCCAAGGTTCATACCAGGGCCCGGCCTGTCGATGCGTCCACTCATGCATTGGGACTGAGTGCACTTTGTTTATTCGCTTGGTTAGGCGGGCGCACCTCGCGCTCGTCAGCAGAGGGTGCCTTGTGTCATCTCAGTGCTGGTCATTTAACTTGCTGGTGAGCAGACTTTGAAATTCCAGCCAAACGTTGCATATGAGTATGTTCGATCTGTCCAAACTATGTGTGCATTGCAGTGTTCCGTTCGTTCGGCGTCTAACACTCTGCTGTATTTGTTTTTTATAGAATCAAGGATGCGTTGGATAGCCCCAGGATTGGATTTGGATGCATTTGGATTACACGCTGGAGTGGATTTGGATGCGTGGGATTTCGCACTGGATCGGATGTGGCGGGATTGTTGCGCGGTGGCTAGGCTGGATATGGCACGGATCGGGATCTGGATCTGGATCTGGATCAAAATCGGACAGGATTGGACGCTCGGCGCATACACCCACCGTTGGACCGACGGACAGGACCTGGCGGTAACGTGCCACGCCCTTCTGGCCCACAATTGCACACAGTTACACACTGGCACACGTAAATCCAACCTGTTGGGATTGCACCCGACCATTGCTTATTGCGTTGCGTACATTGACGCTGAGTTGATTGAGATCATTCGGTCGTGCAGTTAACGTAACGTTCTCCATCCATCGATTGGTCGTGACTGTGCGGTGATGCTGTGGCTGCGCTAACATCCTCTTTCAGCGGGCCCCGGTCGGGCCGAGGAGGTGGACAGCCGACCTGACCTGACCTGAGCTGACCCCGCCCGGGGTTGTCCGGGCGGCTACCGGTGCAGGCCGCTCATCAATACAACGTTCAGCTAATCCCGCGTGTTTGTCGTGGCGAGCCCACGGGGCCGATGGCACACGGACGGAGAGAGGACGTCTGAGGATGGCGTCGGAGGGGGCGGCGGCCGGGCGGCCGGGCTGCAGCGTCCGTGCACGGGACCGGCGACGCTGAGGCACTGATAGCGATGGGTTTGCCAGATGGTAAGGGGGTTTGGTGATGATGAGTTGGAGTTTTAAGGGTGCGTCGACGGCAAATAGTCGTACAGCGCCCATAACTAGCGTGTTACCAGGCGTAGGCTTAATTCAAACGATTTTTGAAATACAGACGCGGTTTGCCTAAACTACTGCGAGAGTCAGGCATGGAGCAGTGAAGGAAACATCACAATAAAGCCAAAGGCAGATAGAAGCTGAAGAAGCTTTCCAGATCGGACAGCTCTGGAGAGTCATTACCTGGAATGTCAGGTAGTGTAATATCTGAGGCGAGGCCAAGAAATCGCACTCGTTCCAACAAGGTCAAGACGGGAAATCGACACGTGGTGCACAGTCAGCGGGTCGTGACATGGGAGGCTGTCATCAGCAAACAGCAGGTAACGATGAATGGGGCATGTGTGTTATATGCGTAGGCGGCACAGACTTCTCTTCGGTCTTTGTGGAAACATGACTGCCCCAGCTCTATCTGAGGCTTGATGATTTTCAGCTCGCTGCTGAGAGAGTCCCAGTGGTTCCGCCATCGCTCCCGCGTATATGACGAAAAGGCTGGTTGCATGTCCTGTACAGGTAATGATGGAATGGGCATGCGCGTTCCTTGCGTTGCACGCTTGGCTATTGCATGTGCCGAGATCATTTCCAGTATCCCCACACAACCCGCGATCCAACACCAGATCACCGTTTTTTCCTCCCGATCCAGTGGTGTAAGACGCGAGAGAACATCTTGAACTAGTGGGTGAGCCAAGCGCGGACCACAAAGAGCCAAAAGGCTGCTCAATGAGTCGGAAAAGTATCAGATGTAAATCATTGTCCACTTCTAGAAAAGAGGGCTTTGATGATATCAGTCAGCTCAGATGCGAAGGCGGATGCATGGGTGGGCGGCGCCGATCGATGGCGTATCAGATTGTATTGACAAGGCTGTTTGTGCTTTTGAGGCCATCATCTTTATCTTCGGTAGGCTGGTTGGCGGTATGCTAGCCTGATAGCACTGCCGTGTTTTGATGGGTGCAGGCTTTGGGATGGCCGCGGCTTGTCAGTGAGCGGGCGCGCCTCCCACAGTCTAGCTTTAGATCGGTTACTACGTAACTGGAACGATTGGTGCCACCTTCGCGCCCCCCCCCCCCCCCTCTGCCCTCTCCCTCTCGCGTGCCGTACTGCGTTGCCTGATTTTGTCTGCTGTGTTGAACGTCTACGACGGAATCGTCCGTGCTGTGGAATCTAATGATTTGCATTCGGGATGAGTACAGCGGCGAGCTTTAACCCGGGCAGCTTGCCCGTGCTCTCAGCCTAATACATGAACAGTGACGTTGGGAGTCTTTCCGGGTCCAAGGCGAACTTGAAGTGCTGTGAAAATAGTTTGACGCCGCACGATATGCTGCCAATTAAAGTCGTGTCCCATTCCGTCACCGACAAGTGGCAAGATCGCAATCAGTAACATCCGGTTTGTGACGCTTGGGTGGGTAGATAATGTCGTGGGCCTGATTGCAGGGTGCGATCTCAGCTCACCTATCTCGCCCGGAAATCGTGCACCATGAGTGCAGCCGCCGGCAGATGGAGCACGTCACAGATTGATCGGTCGATGACCGGTTTCGATAAATGATAACGGGGCGACAAGTGGTATAGATTAACAGTGGGTTCTGGGGTTGTCGGTCATGTGCCAGTCATGGGCGCAAACAAGCAACGCGGTCAGCGCCCTTAAAACTCAATAACTAACGGGATGTAGGCCACTTCATCTGCGAGGATTTTTTCTGCGAACACCATTGTCTTGCCTCGTGCGTTGTCTTCCGCCGTGCTTCCGTTAATGCTGTCGAGACTGCAACTGCACACCTCAATGGCCTTTTGATCAAGGACTCGCCCCTGAAAGCACCATGTATTGTGGCCCAAGGAATGGCTCGCGAGTGCGCCGTGTCTCCCACGGCGCACGAGCGGGGCGCTACCCCGCGCGTGGGTCAGAAAATCTTGCCCACTCGGACAGGCAGCGAAGCTGACGCGAGATCAGAACGTCAAGCGAGATCAAAACTTGCAATGACTAGCAAACAAGCTCAATGATCCAGGGCTGTGTGCTATCGCATGACAATTGATGACGCGGTTCCTGCAAAACATCGCAGCGGCGTGGAAGTGATGCGCGCGTGGTGCCAAAATGGAACATCGACCGTCGTGCAACGGCGAACGGTCGGCGATGACACGAGGGCTTCACACGCAGCGACCACTACGATGACTCCAAAATCGAAACTAGCAAACTAACAGTATCGTGCAGATTACACAGGCTCTGTCGTCACGCCGCAAAACAAACCACGAAAACCCCAAGTTGATGCCTCTCATCCCATATACGGTGACGGCGGCGTATAGACCGCAAAAAACTTAAGAGCAGGACAAATGCAAAATTCCCTTCAACGTGCATGACAAGCATGTTTCCAATACGGTTTCAACCACTTCTGAAAGTTGGAGATGGGGCTACCCCTTGGCTGTCCAGGAAGATACACCGCTTGGTGACTGACCTTGATCATCACCACCATCCTCGTCAAACCTCCGATGGAAGGCACAATACACGGGTACGAACACCGCAAGCTCAATTCTCCTGAATCTAGTGAGATCACGTAATCAAGGAATGGCGACAATAGACGAACGCAAGTAAAAAATGCAGCGCCCTCAACTGGCGCGGTGCCCGTGTACACGCCGCGAACGCGCCAGCCCACTGCGCGATGAAGTGACGCCGGACGGCCGGCCGCGGACCACACTGCGGCTGGGCCGGCCGGCGCTACTGGCGCCAGCTGGACCACACTGGACCACACTGGCGCCAGCTGGACCACACTGCGGCTGGGCCGGCCGGCGCTACTGGCGCCAGCTGCAGAGCAGCCGGGTCTGCTGGGAGCAGTCGCGCGGCAGCCGGTGGCCGGCGCTACTGGCGCCAGCTGCAGAGCAGCCGGGTCTGCTGGGAGCAGTCGCGCGGCAGCCGGTGGCCGGCGCTACTGGCGCCAGCTGCAGAGCAGCCGGGTCTGCTGGGAGCAGTCGCGCGGCAGCCGGTGGCCGGCGCTACTGGCGCCAGCTGCAGAGCAGCCGGGTCCGATGGGAGCAGTCGCGCGGCAGCCGGTGGCCGGCGCTACTGGCGCCAGCTGCAGAGCAGCCGGGTCTGCTGGGAGCAGTCGCGCGGCTGGGCCGGCCGGCGCTACTGGCGCCAGCTGCAGAGCAGCCGGGTCTGCTGGGAGCAGTCGCGCGGCTGGGCCGGCCGGCGCTACTGGCGCCAGCTGCAGAGCAGCCGGGCCGGCGCTACTGGCGCCAGTGCCAGCCTTGCAGACGGCAGTCGGTCTGCTGGGAGCAGTCGCGCGGCAGCCGGTGGCCGGCGCTCCGCGCGCCCAGCGCCGCCGAACCGCTGCACAGCGAGCCGCGCAGCTCGAGCAGCTGGAAGGCCGCCACGTGCGGCCCTGTCGCCGCCACGAAGCCGTCGCGCAGCAGCGGCCACGAGCGGAACACTGCGCCGGCCACGGCCACCTGCAGCCCTCTCTCGGCCGTCAGCATCTCCTGCCGGCGGGCACTGGTCGTCACGCGCCGTCGCACACCCGGAAACGCACCCCCATCCCCCACCCCCCGCCGCGTGGGGCTCCGCCCACTGTCGGCGTTCGCCGCGAGCCCATCTGCTCTACGCAGCGGCTGAGAATGGCGGTTGTGTGGGATAACGCGGTCGACAAGCCGCACCCGTCACTGTTTGCGTGCACTTCGGAGTGCACGTTGCTCGCCTCGCTCCCGACACGCCCCTTCACCGACAGGCACGGCTCTGTCAAGGTTGAAGGTCGAGGGGCGGGGAGAAGATAGGTTCTCGACGCTCGGTACGGGACTCGAGTTAGACGAGGACTATCTGATCCCGTCAAACATACCGGCCGGCTGTTTGCCTAAGGCTGATTCCACATACGCTATCGACATTTGCAAACAGGCCCGAATGTGCGTGCAGGCAGTCTCCGACCATCACGCCCGCCCACTAACATCCGGCCTTCCGTCGGGCTCCAGCGAGGCCTACTTCTGACGTACTCAGCCGGCCGGTTATGCCGGACGCCGACGCGACGGCTCTACCCCGAGAGCGTCGCCCGACGCCGGCCCGCCCCGTGGCCGCGTGAGGTCCGCCGCGCCGCTCACCTTGTCGACGTGGGGCAGCAGGGCGACCACGTGGCGTCCCAGCCAGGCGCCGGCCTCCTCGAACAGCTGCAGGCTGAGCGGGTCGCCGAGCCGCGCCGCCGCCGCCACGTGGCCGCACAGCGTGGCGAACCGATGCTTCTGGAAGTTGGTGTACGCATGCGCCAGCAGGCCGAACCTGCCGACAGAGGCGCGGCGGGGATACGAGTGTCGGCCCGGGAACAGGTACTGGGGTCACGCCGCCGGGGCCTGCGGGGGTTCACATAGCCAGCCTATGACCTGCACAGCATTCGCTCAGCAGTGACCACACCTGAGGCGCTCCGACAGCTTCGCCACACAAAGGCCACTGTTTTAGTCTACGTGCTGATGTTGCTAGGCAACGGTGTCTCCCACCGGGGTTCGCCGCATTCCGTCTCCACTGGAAAACACGAAGGGCCCGCGACAGCACGAACCGCTTTTGACCTGTCGAGTGCCATTCACGCCGCGGCCCGGGACGGGCGCCGGGCGGCGGCTGGAGCGGACGACGCGTACCGGTCCTTCACGCCGAAGCAGGTGTGAATGGCCTCCCGCACGGCGTCGGTGCTGTGCGGCGGCCGGCGGAGATTGTCATCCTCGTCGAACACCCACTTGATGGCCTCGTGCGCCACCCACCAGGCTGTCAACAACGCCAGCGTCATAAGACCGGCACGCCGCATAAGCCGCCAGCTGACAATCACACATCCGCCTGTGATGGGACGACAGCTGATTACGGACGACGGCCCGGCCCGGCCCGGTCACCGTCACCAGTCCCGTCAGACAGGACCTTTGCAAGACAGCAGGCTCGTGGAAAGTCGAACAGCGATGGGAGCAGTGTCTACGAGTTGTGCCATGCGAGTTGTTAGGCAGTTGAGTGCGGCCTGTGTATGGGTTTCACGCAACCGCGCAGCCCATTCGCGGTTGTGGACTGATAACCGCACCTGCGGATCAGGTTTGCTTCCGAAACAATGCGACGCCACAACTCCACTCGTTCGATCAACACCAAAACCGTACAATTTTCCGATTGGCAAAAGATTTAACACGTGGTTTTGGGAGCGGGCCCAGGCCGCGCCCCCCCCCCCCCCCCATCCCCCCGGTGATGCAGCAGCACGAGACGCTGGCGCCGGAACAGGAGGTCCGAACCGTGGAATAACCTGGCCCCAGCCTGTTAGACAATCGGTACTGCGGAACTGTAGTGTACCACATGAACCCATAGCACGGCCATCCGTGGTACAGAAACCCCCAGTTTGTCGGGTAATGCGGCGCACTAGGTGGCAATCAATAAACGTGGTAGCTGGTGACGTACAGGGGACTGCGGGAAATGGCCATGTCCGGCACATTTTGGCCCACAGCATACGTTTAACCGCGAATTGGACCATAATTGAACATGCATTGGAAGCGCATCAGTGAGAGCGCCACTTTCATGTGCCTTTCAATGGCTGAATTTTTCGGACGTCTGCAATATTAAATGTAAACAGTCTGTCTGCAATATTAAGTGCAATATAAATATCAAACTCCTTCTGACACCCCGTGGCGGGACAGCCTAGCCGTTCTTGCCATCACCTCTGCCAATACGACCCTCCCAGCAGGCGGTGAGGTCACGCGATAACAACGTTGGCACCTGGCACTGAACAGTCCGAGGATATGAACAGGCAAGGACATTATGCCGGCACTCTAGGGTGACCATGACCGGGACGACAAGCGGAGCTGTTTCAGGCACGCATGTTTCAACCCAGCAGGCATTGCAAAATAGGTGTGGACTAAAAATTTTCAATGCGGCTAGTTGAGTAGATTTTATGAATTTCACGCAACCCAGTGTATGCATGTTTTTGTACCAGGACGCATGCGTTAGACACCGCCAGTCCCCCGCCGCCCGAGCACAACGGCCACACACAGCGCGAGCCGCGGCCGCCGGCCGGCCTCTCACCGCTGCCCTCGTCGCCGAAGAGGTGACCCCAGCCGCCGCACCGGTGCGTGCTGCCGTCGGCCTTCAGCAGCAGGCTGTTGGAGCCGGTGCCGGCGATCAGACACAGCCCACCTGCGGCAAGCGGCAGGCGTCAGACACGGGCCGACGATCAGACACAGCCCGCCTGCGGCAGGCGGCAGGCGTCAGACAAGAGCCGGCGATCAGACACAGCCCGCCTGCGGCAGGCGGCAGGTGGAAGGCGTCAGGCGTCAGGCGTCAGGCGTCAGGCGTCAGGCGTCAGGCGCCAGGCGCCAGGCACGGGCCGGCGATCAGACACAGCCCGCCTGCGGCACGCGTCAGGCGTCAGACACGGGCCGGTGATCAGACACAGCCCGCCTGCGGAGGGCAGGCGGCAGGCGCAGGTCGCTCGGCGCCACGCCGCGATAGCACGCCCCACGGCTCGGTCTTCAACTGAACCTCCAATCGCTGCGCCTCCGCGATTCGCGCCGATGGTTTTTATGACGCTCATGGACACGACCGCTGGAGCAACCGTGACTGCCGCCAATACATTTTTACAATAAAGTAGACTTCAGATATATAAGACAATAATATTAGCCTTATTTTTCGGAGACAAACCAGAAGAATGAAAATATAGTTGGGTTGATATTTCGGCAACCTGCCTTTATCGAACCAATGGCTGAAGTGAATTCAAAATTGCCTGCCAAATTCACTTCTGTTTTTTGAATCTTGATTTCATTGTTCAGGTCAGGTCAGGTCAGGCCACGTTGCTGATCAGGTCATTCCATTTTGAGTTCACTTCTGCTATTGCTTCGATAAAAGCATGTTGCCAAAACATCAACCGAACTATATCTCCATTCTCTTGGTTTTCTCCGAGGAATAAAGCCAATACTACTGTCTTATCTCCGTGAATAATGTTCCCGGCTAATGCACCGAACAACTTACGTAAAGCAGGCTCCGATGAACCGCTTAAGTGATTCCAGCGCATATACCATGGTGATGTAATGGCCAAAATTCAGTCGTAACTATCATATAATAAATCCCCTCTGGTTAAGCCACCACCCGACGGTTAGAAGGTTTGGAGGGGCACACCAAGCCCGGCTGGGTCACCCGACGAGGTCGAGGCGGAGGGGGATGGGAGAGGAGGTAGCACCCACCATCCTCGAAGGCGGTGGCGATGGTTCCGACCGTGTCACTGCAGACGTAGCAGACCTCAGTCATGGTCGGGTGGCGCTCCAGCAGGCCCTGACGGAACGACTCGTTCGTCTCGGCCACCTCGCAGCCGCTCAGGCTCAGGCCCTGGCGGACACGGGTGCTGCTCTGACTCGGCACTCCCAGACTCGGCAGCTGCACTGAGACTGGATCCGCGACCCAGTGCCGACGGAGACAGGCGCCCAGACTCGGGAGCTGTTCTGAGACTGGATCCGCGACCCCAGCACCGACGGAAACAGGCGCCAGACTCGAGAGCTCCTGAGTTTCGGACACATAACTGATGGACGCATGTTCTGTGACCCCACAGCAGACTGAGACCAGCTGCGAGACTCGAGCTGATCTCATGACGGAAACGGGTTTCGAGAGCTGGGTGCCCGCGAGGACAGGCCCGGAGAGGCGGGAGATAGCAGAGATAAACGCCATCTGGATGGGCGAGGGGCTGACGCAAATGAACTCTGGAACCTGGGAGCACACGGGTACAGGCTCTGAGACTCGGAACCACACAGAGAAAATAAACTTGGCACAACACGGCATGGTGCTGCGGGCCCAAACGCTTGGTCTCGTCCCGGGGACGCTAGGCAGGCATCCAGCATCGCTCACCAGGGATCGAAGCGTGGTGTTCTGCGGCAGATCGGCCAATTTGAGGGCCTCGTCCACCAGCCCGCGGATCCGGCTCTCCGCCTCGGGCATGCCGATGAGCTGCAACGTTATCAAACGTACACACGACGCTCGCTGGGACGGTACCAAACGCACAACGTTCTGAACGTTGGGAGACGGCCCATGGTTACATGAGTAGCACGCCCATCGGTCTGTGCGACAGAAAGTGATGGCGGAAATTGGTACAGTTCAATATAAAAAAACGCCGAAGCTCTTCCACATGTGCACGCAAGCGCTCCACAGCGCGGATGTGATAGAACCCAAACTGGCCTATTTGTTGACGGGGTGTCATGAACAGGTGGAATGCATAGGACGCAAAGATGGAATGAACGCGTTACAGCTCGGGGCGTCACAGAGGGCGACGCTAAACGTGACTATGCACCTGAGGAAGTCATAGGCGAAGAATGTCAAAACGCGATTGGGTCACTGACAGTGGATGCAGGAGGCAGATTCGACCTTAGCGACCAGAGCGGACATGGGCATTCATACACTAATGGGACCAATATAACGACAGGCAAATCGAGCGCAACAGGCAAAAAACAGCACTGTATCGCATGCATCAACCATGGAGGAAGCGGCCACTACAGTCAGCGAACAGTGCCAAGCGCGGAGCTTGCCGCTGTTCCGTGTGAAGCAACTTACGAGGAAGTTAATACAGGGTCCGTCGCACTCGGCCAGACATTTTCCGGACGCATCAAACAGAGATATGGCGGAATGGCTGCCACCACTGAAAACAACAAGCAAAGCATTCACGACTCCACGTAAAATGAGGTCAAATGAACTAACTTAACGATCTATTCGATTATGCCAGCTACAAAGTGCACACGCAGGAAGTCGATGGGAGCAGATTAAGCAGATCCGTACTACCAGGCGCATGCGTTGTCACCATTACAGCAAGGCATCGAGAGCTAAAAATAATAAAAATTATACATAACGTGGCATGGTCAGCTCTCGGTTTTAACCCTCACCAAGGAAACGCCGAGGAGGGCCTCGGAGACCCCTGATGTTTTGCGGGAATCGCCTTACAGCATTATATGGCTGAAGCTGCGATTTTGATCGCTAAAGCTTGGACACCTTGAGACATACTTGGCTATCTCTCCATCTCCTGACGTTTTTGACAGAGTCGTGTTCATCGCGTTTCGTTTCTACCCGTCGAAAACGGACATCTTTTGTAGGAATATGAGCTCTTAAGTGTTATCCTGCACTGCCTGTTGCTGTTGATTAGGATTTAAGTGTGCGCCGACAACGGGGGTCACTGATCTGGGCAGGTCCTCAACGCTTTATCAGTAAAACATGCCGAACCAAGCCATTTGGCAGGAACAACATCTGACTTGTTGATATTTCCACTGGCGTTAAATTCCTCCTCTGGTTGTTCAGAAGGAAATAACCTTTGATTACCACGGCAAAGCCTGCCATGGAGTCCGCCCAGGCTCGGATGGCTGACCAACTTTTTTGCACACCATAGTACAGTTTCTCAACCTGACCTGTGCAGAGGTCACACCAGGTGGAGCCTAAGGCATTCCCTTTGCACTGCCCAAACCTGCGCACTGCACTGTTGGCCTGGAGCTGGGTCAGTCAGGTCACCTCCCCCCAGCCATGTGGCAGGTCAGTGGGAGGAAGTCCTGCTGGGACCAGGACTAGGCATCAGTGCGGCCTCCCTTGGAGCCTTGTCATAACCCCAGGTCAGATCTAATGAGTACATCCCAGGGTGAGGACACAATGCTTCTTTTAAGTATCCCATTTTGACCAGATCACTCTCAAACATCCAAAATGAACTATTGTGATTATGGTTTATATTCTACTCAGACAAAACAAATCAGCCATTAAAACAAAAACACAGGAGGGGTTTGAAACTGACAGTACATGCCAGTTTTTGGCCTGGAGGACATGGTTTGATATGCAAGGAAACATTCATTACATCTGTGCATGGTTTCATGTGCCAATCACTATACAATACCACCTACCTGATGCATTGACAAACATGCTCTCAGAGATCCAAAGAAGCAATACTGCACTACTTGGCCCTATTTAAATGGTATAGCATGTCAAAGATCACATGTAATGATGTTTGGTGATACCAAACTGCCTCTGTTTTGCATGAGTTATGTGATGCTGCTTTCCAAATGGCTAAGCATGCCTATTTCTAGATGTTAGGGGCTGTGTGAGGCTGCTTTCATCTGCAAAATTCAATACTTAGCAGTGAGGGTAAAACACCTAAAAACTCTCTGTTTAGAAAATTGACCATTTCTTCCATGCCACACTTACTACAAAGCTGAGACAGGGGCCCTCACAATGTGCCAAACATTGTCCACTTGAGTCATACAGCTCAATGCAGGAGTGGCTGCCTCCACTGAAAAGCACAGCCATAAATATATTCCTGCATAATGTTCATATATGTCAAGATAAATATATGCATGAACACACCAGGATTCTGTCAACATACAGGAAGTAGTCCCTGCAACTTAACAAGATAAGATGATCCCCATTCCCACCCCCAATCTGATGTATTCAGCATGAAGTGTCCTTGGTGGACAATGGCCAATAAACAGCTTCTGATCAGATAACAGTGTTTCTTGCTCTTATTAATGTGTTCACAAACACATCCATACTTTTATGATCAGTAAAACAAAAACAGGCATGCATCAACACAGTACACAAATGTTGCCATACCCTTCCACGCCAGCATACAAAACAGGGATGTTGCTCCTGTTAGCCATGGCTGATTTCATCCTGAAAAGGAAACTTGATTTGAAACACAATTTTTGGCTTGATGAGAGGTATCAACTACTGAAATTCTGATCAGCCTAAGCACAGAACAAATGAAACTCCAGGAGCATGTAACATAAAAATGCATTAGTATAAATGCACCATGGAATGGAGTGGTGGCCAAAAGCTTACATCTTAGCAACCATAGTTGGGTATGGTTAAATCTTACCAACCATAGTAAAAGGAAGACCATGGGAACCATTTTCATAAGACACCTCTATCATTTCTACGACTCTAAAGAAAAATGCATGGCAGTATTTTTAAGCCAATAAAACAACAGGAATTTAGCCACAAAGTTGAGGCGTTAACTAAATGGCACTCGGATCAGCGGTCCGAGACAATACGTCTTTTCATCACCATTAGTGCACAAACATAGCTTCAGCAAGCAGGCAGCCGTACTATTTGAAATGTATCACGTTTCGAAGCACCCACACCCCCACCAAGAGCACCCACACGACTGACCGATTTGGAACATACGCGCTCGAACCGAACAACACTTCTCTCACGCGGTATCGGAATGGGAGTAGCACCACGACTAAGTCGTTGAATGCTTGTTGTCAGTAAGGAATGTTCATTGATGACGTCAAATATGTGAAATATATGCTAAGCACCAGTGTAGTCTCAGCTTCAAGCTTTTTCTAGCAGTCACCTAAGATAATTTTTCATGGAATTCTGCACAGAAACTTGTAACCACCTTTCAACGGTGAGTAGTACTAGGAGCAGGGTGAAACCCGATAATATAAGATGTACTACGGCACTGCCGTAATGCGGAATTTTTGATTTATGTAAGGTTTCTGCGTTTTCGGTGATTTGACACTCGCGGACTTACGGACCATACCGAATCTTAGCAACATCTCTCCGTCTATTCGCGACAGGAAGCATTTGTGGAGGAATGAGTGAAATCCAAACCCGGCTTGAAACGTTTTTCCCATTTTCGTCTCCACGTTTGTAATTGTTGCGCCATGTTCAGTATCTTCGTGCGTCGGTGCGTTTGTCCATTCTCCACGCGTTACGCGGTTTGTCAGATAGGGAGGTAATTATATTTGTCGGAATGAGCTTCATCTCATTGGTACCGCCTGTATTATTGCCCTGCCCAGTTGTGAGGTCCAGTCACCAGTGACATCACCTCAACCAACCCTGTCGACCCAAGGTTATGCAAACTGTTAGCGGATTGGCAGGCAAATTTAGAGTTGCCCAGGCATTGCATGCATTTTGAGCATTCGTCTTTTATTGGATTGTTTTGCCCCAAGATAATTTCACAAATTTCATAAGTCTGCAGATTTGCACTGCAAATAAACTAAGGTTAACTGGGTGTTTGTGAGAGGCATGAAGGACAAAAAATAATGCCCCAGCTCATAATGGAATAATACCATTGTGATAAAGAGCATTAGTACAAACATGAGCAACAGGAAGTTCTACACTACACATGTCCATTATGAAATGCATCACTGCGCAAAAGAGCAGTTGTAGAACTATGACACAGTTGTTAATTTTTGATCTCACTGGTTGCAGTGACTTGAAAAATGTCTCTTTTGCCAAGGCACAACACCAAGATGGAGGAGTTTTATAAGTTCTTAGCTAAAATTTGGTGATAGGCACTGTAGATCAAAGGTGTGATAAAAAGCCACATCATTGACATGCCATTTAGTGTCCTGTTGGCCACAACATAATCATGCAGGCTTACATGATCTGGGGAGCCTACACACTAAATATAAATAGACCCACATGGTATAAAATGAGAGGAAAATCTGTCATGGACTGGAACTTGCAAGCATTAAGGTGTAGCCATTGCTGGACAAGACATTGCAACTGACAACAAATGCTCTTCAAATACATCAACAGCCTGCAGAGCCCTGTCAGTCTGGGGCAGCAGGGCCCCAGCCATTTTTAGTGCCCTAGCCATGCACCAGCCTCCTTGAACAGCATCAGTGGGTATGCAGTATGGGTATGCAGTGAGTTTTTCACATGGCTTATGTAGTCTATTTCATAATTTTTTTGGTAAGACAGTGTGAAATATACATATGACATGTTTTGTAAAACATCAAAGCAGGCTTGGCATTGGTGATGTTGGATGTTTTCCTGATCAATATGATGATACATCACCAAAGAGGATGATGAAAGGAAGGTGAAGACTATCCTGCTGCATGGCCTGGTGTTGGTTATGTTCCTTAATGTTTCATCCTGCATGATACATCCCAGGGTAATGGTTTGGACAGTCAATATAACCACATAGTTACAAAGTTTAAGTAAATGTGCAACAGTTTGAACAATAATTTAGATTTTGATTTTCCAACAGAGTTTGCAAGATGTTTGTAAATTACTGACAAGATTGGTTGGTCATGCATTGCAGATTGAAAAAAACTTTGTGCTTAAGTTTCTAATGCAATTATAGATTCTAAGAATGATTAGTTAAGCAATTTGCTGTGGAATGCCTCTATGATGTTATGTGTTGAAGAGGGAGTAGTACCTACTCTGTCATACCTTCTAGGCCATTTTCATTTTTGATGATCCTGCATGTTCCAGAAATATTTCACAATGATGATTTCTTTAACAATCACAACTAACTACATTGCACACATTACTGAAACTTGACCAGTTTGGCCCTGGTTGCAGGGTCATAGACTGTGGTGAAGCCAGGCAGTAACAGGAAGGATCAGATATGTCACATTCCTCCAGCAAAGGAGTGGAGTATTATGTGGAGAAGGCAGCCCGCAAGTACCTGGGAGCCAGTGACTCATCAGTGGTGACAGCACTGACCTCTTACATCAATGCTGGATACAGCAAGGACAAGACCACCAGTAAGTGAAGGAGGTCTGGCTTGGCTTTATGTTCTACTTTCAAAGCTAAGCAGCAGGCAGCTGATCTTTTGGCCAGACTTGTTTAGATGCCATAATTGGCTTGATACCTGAGGTGTAATGTCACCCATTTGTCTGCAATCTGTGCATCCATGGTGACCATGAGGTTTCAGTTTTACAAACAGCTGTGTTTTTTGTTGGTGCTGTGTTTGTTTTGCTTGCCAGTTTGCTGTCTTCTTTTACAGTCATGACTGATTGTGTGCTCAATTCTCGGGTGTGTCAAGAACCTCACCAGCATGGCAAGATAGGCATAAAGTGTCGCTCAGTCTAAGACTATTTCCATGCTAAGCTGTTTTTATAACATGGCATTTGTAGTACCCAATAGCTAGTTGGCAACTTGTTTGCCACTGTCGCAACTCAAATTGTTGTGTTGAAGCATCACCACAGAGACCGGCACCAGCTTCGCTGTGATAGCTGATCAATGTGATGTGCCACCTCCAGCTTGTGATGCCACCCCACTTATTGTCCAGGCCATAGTCCTTCCACTGTTGGGGCATCTGGGCTAAAATCAATGAAAATTGTTCCCTGGATCAGCATCAGGAACTTCGACGATGCAGCGGTCAGCATGTGGTGCAGCAGTCTAACTGTCTGAGGTGGTGTGGGTGCAGCAGTCTAACTGTCCGAGGTGGTGTGGGTGCAGCAGTCTGATCGCCTGAGGTGCTGCAGGCGCAACGGTCTGACCACCTGTCCTGACCCGTCAACAGGTAAGATCTCGTCGCTGATCGACGCTAGCAAGGCGGCCAAGCTGACGGCGCGGGTGTACGACCTGCTGGAGGAGAAGCGGCTGGGGCCCAAGTTCGCGGCCAAGCGGCCCGGCGCGGCGCCGGACGCCACCGAGAACGGCGCCAAGAAGATGCGCCGCGAGGAGGCGGTCCCGGCGCGGCCCGCACCCGCGCCGGCCCCCGCGCCCGCCGCGCCCGCCGCTCCCGCCGCTCCTGCCGCTCCTGCTGCCGCCGCGCCCGCCGCGCCGCCCGCTGCTTCTGGGGATGGCAAGGCGCCGCTTACGCCGCTGCAGGTGAGGAGACCGAGCACGGTGCTTTGCCGGCCTTGCGGGCAGAGACTCGGGGAACGGAGGGGGGGGGGGGGGGGGGATACCCGAGCGGGCCGACCCGTTCTCCGCGGCTGCGGTGGGGATACGCTCCGACCCCGGACCGATAAGACCGGAGCGGATGGGGCGGGATGGTGGCCCGGTTTGGTGATCAGCTGCTCACCGATGGCCGGGTAGGTGATCTTGGGAGGCTGCTCAAACAGGCTGTTTGTCAAGATGTGAGATGACCTGTCCATTTGACGTGATTCGACTTTTCGCCATTCACTCCGTCGACCCTGTGAACGGCTGGGTAGAAAGCGGGGCTAATGTTGTATCATGGTGTCACAGGGCACGAGCCTCTCTAGCTCATTTGCCCCTTGTGGCAAACGCGTATGTTTCCCAGGTCGGTCGTGTTTCTTTTCTCCCGTGCTTCTTTGAAGTAACTGAGCAGGTACGCTTTTAATTCAGTTTGACATACATGGCTGCACCGTTCATTTTGTCATGACTTACGCGAGGTCACATTCCGTTGTAGCATGTGTCCGGATCACCAACGTGTCGTCCTCTTCACGCAGATCAAGGAGATGATGGCCAACGCGCAGAAGATGATCGAGATGCGGAAGAAGACGCTGGGCGCGCTGGCGCCGGGGGGTCTGGCGCAGCCAGGCCTGGCGGCGACCAGCGGCGAGGCGCCGTTCACCGACAAGGCCAAGAAGATCGCTGACCTGCAGGTGGGCTGAGGGCGGGTCACCGCTGATCGAGGGCCGACCACTACTGGCTGCCGGCGGCGGCTTGGCTCGGGCTCGGGACGGCGAAGGCTGGTGTCAGACCGAGTTTGAAGCATAACCTGGCCTCAGAGCTGTGTGCTGGTAGATGGCTGCATGGCATTAGCCAACACTTGACTCTTTGGTTGAGGGCATGTGGACTGCACTGTAGGCTCATGGGATGGCTTGAGTATGAAAGCATTTAAGCAGGGTATTTGCCAGTCTGAAGCGGCTTTTGAATCATAGTATCATACATGTCAAGCTTATCAGTGTGTTTCAGATGACCATGTTGTCTACTGATGTGTACCTCTTTTTCCATGTATTCCGTTGTGATACTGATGTCATCTGCATGGTGGGAAACATTTGTGCACGGAACCAAGCTCGCTGAGGTTGATGTAACATCTCTAACGCGGCGCAGTTTTGCTGCTCCGCTAGCTGACGCCGCCGTGTCGCCATGGTGACCGATGCGCCGCCGCTGGCAGGCCGAGATCGCGGCCAAGCTATCGTCGCTGCCGGTACGCTCGACGGACCCGGCCGACAAGCCGCGCCCGCTCATCCTGGACGACCACGGCCGCACGGTGGACGCCTCGGGCAACGAGGTGCAGATCGCCGCCCGCATGCCCACACTGAAGGTGAGCTGACGCCGGGCGGCGCCGGCGTCGGGCCGACGGGGATGTGCGGTCGGGTGCCGTCGCTGGTGCTGTCGTGGGCAGGTTCTCTGTTGGAGTATGCGTTGTATGCGACGTGAAATGTGGGCTAGGTTAGTAGAAGGGTTTCTGTGCGGGGACGCTGTCAGACTATAATCCTGAGACTTTCAATGGAAACGGTGCGCTATGCGTGTGTGTAGTCATCGGAATGGTATCGCTATGTGTCTTCGTGAAGGGCCCGGGCGTGACTCGTCACTTGCTCCGCGACAGGCCAACATCCGTGCGAAGCGGCGCGCCGAGTTCCGCCAGCAGCTGCAGGAGCGGCCGGCCGAGGACGTCAGCGAGCAGGCCTTTTTCGACCCGCGCGTCTCGCTGCGGCCGTCGGCCCGCGGCCGGCGCGCCTTCAACTTCCACGAGCCCGGCCGCTTCCAGCAGGTGGCCGCGCGCATGCGCACCAAGGCGCAGCTCGAGAAACTCCAGGTGCGTCACTTCGCGTTTTGAAGAGAAGGCCGTCTTTGCTTAGGTTGTCTGGCTTTTCGCGCGTTATCATTGATTGGGCGACAAATAAGAGTGCCTTGTAACGGATTTTCGCGGCAATTCATCCTCGTGACTTCGTGTTCCGTATGTGCGCAATGGCTGGCGGCATGGTTGTGCGACCCGCCGCGTCGTCAGATTGCCTCCTCACCCTCACTCCTTCCTCCGGCAACTCTCATTCCCTCCTCCTCCACCGACTCTCACTTTCTCCTCCTCTACCGACCGTTCGCTTCATTTCCTCCACCAACTCGCACTCCCTCCTCCGCCGACTCGCACTCCCTCCTCCGCCGAATCTCACTCCCTCCTCCTCCACTGATTCTCACTCCCTCCTCATCCGCCAACTTTCACTCCCTCTGCGTCCGCCAATTCTCACACCATCTTCCTCCACCACTCTCACTCCTCCTCTTCCACCAACCCTCACTCTCTCCTCCATTGACCCTCACTCTTTCCTGCCCTGACTCTCACTCCCACCTCCGCCACCGACTCTCACTCCCTCCTGCATCGCTTGCAGAGCGAGATAGCGCAGATCGCGCGCAAGACAGGCATCTCGTCGGCAATGCGGCTGGCCATGGTGGCGCCGCGGCCGGCCGGCTGGCAGCCGGCGGCCGACGGCGGCCCGCCCGCCATCGAGTGGTGGGACCAGGTGGTGCTGCAGGCCGACTCGTACGGCCCGGAGACGGACGAGCGGCCGCGCGCCGAGCGGTACCAGGGCGTCACCAGCCTGGTGGAGCATCCCACGCAGATGGCGCCGCCCAGTCAGTACATGCGCCGGCCCGGGGCAGGGGCTGGAGGGACGGAGGCCATGCCTATGGTGGCTGTTGTGGTGGGACGGGACGGCGGTCAAGACGCTCTTTTCTGAGGTCGAGACCGTGGCCGTGAGCGATTGCATGTTGCGCGTAGTATTTCAGAACGCCCCCAGCGACAAGCAGAATCGTGGCCATTGAGTGTAAGTGAGGATCGTACATTTAATGTAGATACATCTCGTACCAGAGCGCCAGCCTGGAGATAGAGGTTTATTATGCCCAATTTCAATCCCTAGGTTTGGCTGATGTCAATGTAACGACTGGCATAACATGGAGCAGCCAGCAGTCTTATGTCGTATCCTGGCCAATTGTGCAACGGTGATTTCGACAACGAGCCAATCAGCGTGGCGACTGGCCAAGCTTTGCAGGATCCAGCCAATGGAGCCGCTTCATTTCTGCATGCATGGAAGGCGATGTGGCGGGCGTCTGCCGGTGACGTGTCTTTCCGTCACCTGTCGTCAACCGCCCGGACGTCATCTGGCGTAACTCGTCCTGACGTCATCCGTCCTGACGTCACCCGTCCACCTGCAGCTGACGGCGGCAAGGACGTGTTCCTGCCGGTGCTACTCACCAAGAAGGAGCGCAAGAAGCTGCGGCGCACCAACCGTCGCGAGGCCTGGAAGGACAAGCAGGAGAAGATCCGGCTCGGTCTGGAGCCTCCGCCGGAGCCTAAGGTGAGGAGCAGCCGGCGGACGGCACGACAGCTGGCGAAGCCGAGCGCGGCGCGCCGTAAACCGGGAGACGATCTCGGAGTAGGAGATACTTCCAGATGAGCGGGCTGCGAAACCGGGTACGGTGTTGTCGAGTTAGAACAAGCCCCGCTAAACGATACTGTTAGGGGTGTCTTCCCATATTTTTGAGTGTAGTAGAGTGGGCTCGCTGGAGCCCTGAAGACCACGTCTTGCGAAAACCCAGGCTTGCTATTCACTCATGACTTATAATTTTGCTCTCCTTGCACCTCCATTTCGATTTGGAGCTGGAAGGAGACCGAGAAGTGACGACCTCGCTCGGCGAGATCAAACGGCGACGTTCAACGCAGACTCTCCGATCACGGTCCAAAATCACTGCACCCTCGTCGTATTGACGACGCAGGAATACCCACCGTCCTCCCTGCCCCCTTCTTGGCGACCTACACCTGTGTCAGCAGCTGAGGGCGATCGATCGATCGATCAGAGATCTGAGGGCGGTCGAATGGTGCGCGTCCGTCGGGCCCGCGGCGCCCTCGCCGGACGGCAGGCCACGGGTCAGGGGGTCGCACGGCGCCGACTGCCGACTCGGCAGGTGTCGCGTGACGCGTCGGCTCGGCTGGTGTCGACGTGGCCCATCCGAACGGAGGTCACCTTTACCAAACCATAGCTCCCGGGGGGTGTAGGTGCGAAAGTGCAATTGACCCGTGCAGAACGCGGTGTCCCTGAACAGGATGGCAGGAATCGACAGGCAAGGGAGACAGAGTTCTCGGGATGGCGTCTGCCCACGGAAGGGACGGCGATCTCGCCACTGAGTGCGCACGATCCTCCAAAATGGAATCTGCCCCCTCCCCCCCCCCCCCCAATCACTGTTCACTTGATTATCGTCATTAGTGACGACATAGAAAAGGTAATATTTCGCCCCTTCGCGAAATGTTGCCTTTCAGTGCCCTGCATCGTCCGCAACACCGCACCCTTCCGATGTCGCTGGTTCTGATCTTCCGTGTTGAAGGCAGTGCAACAAGCCATGTTCTCATTCTACCTGGTCGCCTTCCTGAAGCGCAAAGGACGCCGCCTCAGCCTCTACGTCGCCGGTCCGCGGGTGGTCTCCGCGGGCTACGGTGGCCGCGGCGCGCTAACCCCACCCCTATTTCCCCCTCCGTCGCAGGTCCGCATGTCGAACCTGATGCGCGTGCTGGGCAACGAGGCCGTCCAGGACCCGACGAAAATCGAGGCGCACGTGCGCGCCCAGATGGCCAAGCGCCAGAAGACGCACCTGGACGCCAACGCGGCGCGCAAGCTCACCACCGAGCAGCGCAAGGAGAAGAAGATTGCCAAGATCAAGGAGGACACGTCCACCGAGATCCACGTGGCGATCTATAGGTGCGGCGTGTTGAGAGCGGGATAGGGGCTGGTTGTCGGGCGGTGGTGTCAGAGCGTCGGTGCCTGCGCTGGACAACGCAGGGGTTTTAGCGTCTTTTTAGGTTTGAGCTGGGGGTCGGGCGCGTTTGGCCTTGTATGCTGGCAACATGCCCACCACTTTGAATTTGTGTTGAATTGGTTTTGTTGCCATTACAGTGGCATGAACCGCTTCTTTTCATGGCCATTACCATTCAGTTTTTGCTGTTGACCGCGAATCGGTACAGACTTGGTGTCTCCAGTGTCTGGTCATGCCGCGATATGCTCCGTTTGCTTCTATGTATGCCCTACCGCCTTGTGCTGGCTTGCTGTTGGCTGGATGGTCATGTGTTGACGCGCTGACCGCGAACTTTCCCGTTACCAGGGTAACGGATCTCTCGAATCAAGCAAAGAAGTTCAAGGTAGAGACCAACGCCAACCAACTGTTCATGACGGGCGCGGTGGTGCTCTTCAAGGACGTAAACGTGGTGGTGGTCGAGGGCGGGCCGAAGCAGCAGAAAAAGTACAAGAAGTAAGTCCCTAGCTAACTTGCTGCCAGCCCAGGGTGCTGTTGGCGGCCGCCGGGTGTGGAGGGGGCCATATATGGAGTGTACCTGGATGGAATTTGTCCATGGAGGTGTGGGAGTTCTGCGTAGAATTGGAGTAAAATTGACTTCGCACGGCCCCGAATGAAACGGTAGTTGAGACGTGTTAAAATTGAGAACAGTTACTGAGATCTCTGAACATCGTTTGACAACCACTGGAAAGGGCCATGCCTCACATAAGGTGTCAGGTACGGAAATCCTATGTTTGTGTCATAGACATAAACTAGATGCCTCAGGCTTTCGCCATGCTTGCATTCATTACGGAGGATTTTTTTTTTAAAAGCTGCATCATTTTGTCCCCACTTTATACTCCCTTGTTGCCACGCGTTCCGTCTTGCCGCTGCACCACGTCTGCAAAATGTTGCTTGTAGCGTGTGTTTGTAACGTTTGTGACGTGTGCACGTCAGTGGTGTGGCGCCACTTCGGCGCGGTCGGCCCCGCTGAGAGCTGAACGCGCGGCCGACAGACACCCTTCCCCTCGATCGTAGTCATTGGAGGGTTCGACCAAAGGTTGACAAAGTTGTCGGTCACATAATTCGTAGTGAATTGTTTTTGTATAACAAGTGTAGTAATTTCGCAAGGCGTTTATTATAATCGTTTATTGTAATTAGTGCATTTATATATTGTTTATTGTATTGTATTGTAATATTGTATGAGACGTATATTGTAATCTTCATGTGTGGGATCAAGTGATGTAAGAATCCGAATACCTGGCCGGGTATTCAAGTTTGCAGAAAGTGGGGGCTCAGCTCCGTTCCATAAATCAAGAAGGGCTGCTCGTGTGTAACGTTAAGCGATTGAGATGCTTTAGCTTGGTAAACTGCTTGTGGAAATTGAGATGATTACTATGATTTTGTTAATTACAGGTTGATGCTTCATAGAATCAAATGGGAAGAGGACATGGTGAAAGGAAAGGAAGGAGAAGAGGCCGAAAACAAATGCGTCCTTATATGGGAGGTAGATGGCCATTCTGTTCGTCGCTGCATAAACTAAGTTATAGCGATGTATTCTATTCGACATGGTGTCGCTGTTAAATTATGAGCATTTGAATTCATGTAAGTTCCTCTGTTACCGCTCTTGACATTTGCCGTCAGCTGGGAAGGTTGCCGAAGGCCTGGAGCCAAAGTGATATACATGTCTGCATTCCGATGTTAAGCGACGTCAAATGTGAATAATTATGTGATGGTGTTGGATGATCTCCCGTAAATTTGTCATTGTCGTACGTCATGGCAAGTCGAAATGTCCTCGTATTAAAATCCAAAGGGTTACAGACACTCGGCGATTATTGAGATGGGCGTCTTCCTTCTCGGTTTGATGGACATTACAAGTTATAGATACGTTACGCGGGGAGCGTGTTGTTGACGGGTTTGCCATTTTGCCTTTCGAAGCACCGGCCCTGTGGTGCCCGGCCGAGCCGGCGCAGTGCGTAGGACCGCCCTGTAAGGGATCCATCTCCCCCGGTCCAGCTCGCCTGCACAGGGTGGGCGGCGGCACTGACCCGACCTCGCCGCCACCAGGGCACCACCAAACAGCGCAGCTTCGGCGAGATCAAGTTCAAGCTGTGTCCCAACGAGAGCTTCGCGCGCGAGCACTTCCGCAAGCAGGGTGTGGAACACTACTGGGACCTGGCCTACAGCGCCGCCGTTCTGGAGCAGGAGGCCACGTGATCACCGCCCGCTGGAGCGGAATGGCACGTGGTCACCGCCCCGCTGGAGTGGGATGTCTCGTGGTCACGCCCTTTCTGGAGCGGGACGTCACGTGATCGTGCCCGTGTTGGAGCGGATATCGCGTGATTGCCCTCCCTCTGGAGGTTGATATCACGTGACTGCCGCACTGCGGGGCTGGAGGCAGCCGGATGGCCGCCGCGCCGAAATACGTTTTCCCGTGACCACTGCCGTGTCGGAAGGGTGCCAACGCGACGTGAGCGGTGTGGAGCCGGCCAGCGCATGTGACGAGCGCTGTGAATAACGGCGAACGCGGTTGCCGCCGCGCCGAAGCGTGCCGCCCGACGACAGCTGGCGGCGGCCGCGTGCAGCCCGCGCCGGTGTAGGCAGCCGCCGGCAGCGAGCAGCCACGGGGACCGGAGGGGTCGGCTCTGGACCAGCCAACTGCGGCCGGGCCGAAGCGCTCCGCTGTCACAAACTCTTCGCCGGCCGCCCGGCGAGCTTCGGGAGGGCGGCGGGCGCGCGCGACCGCGGCGGCGGCCACGGCCCGCTGTGATGTGATCCGACCGGCCGGTTCTCCCTCGGTGTGGCGGCGTTGTGTGGCGGTGGCGTGAAGCGTGACGGCCCGAGTGGGCCGGGCCGTTCTGGAGGTTGCTGCTGCGCGGTATTGGCTGCGATCTGGGTCTGCATCGGCCGCGGTCGTTGTGTGTTGACCTCGGACGCTGAACGGGCCTTGTGGATCTGTTTCTGGTGGCACGGACGCCGCGCTGGCGGCGGCCACCGGGGCGCCACGTCAGAACGGAATATATAATCGCTCGTGCTGATCCTGGTGCCTGTTGGAGAGAACGTGGGATGTGCGGGCCGTGACATTTCAGGCGTCTTGGAAGTGAAACGGTGTGGGGTGCTCCGCCGGTCGATAGGAGCGTACACGTTGGCTGAACAGAAGCGATTTCACATTAACATCACCTTGATAAGAAGGAAAAGCACGTGTGTCGCACACTAAAAGCAGGATGGCTAGAAAGCCTTCACAGGCCATGAACGAAATTAAAGGTTAGCAGAATGATCAGGCCGACTCCAGCTGAAAGAACCAGTCATGAATTGCGCCCACAGTTGCCAAGAATATATCCCAGTGCTGAAACTGTAGATACCCAGGACAAGTCGCCGGCTATTATGGTGGCTTTCAAGGGGTCTTATATTGACAGGATGTAAAATCACTTGTAGCGGAAAGGGAAGATCTGGTGATAACTAATTTTTAAGCATCTTTGGACCGTGGCGGGGCACGAAACGGTGCCTATGAAGATGCCGGCGACTGCATGAATGCAAACCTGGACTACGTTTCACGCGAATGGAACGCGTTTTAGGTCAGTGATCGGACATTGGCTCCGTGGCCATCTAAGGCATCTTAACCCTCTTATGCCCAGAGGTCATTTCTTTCACATGGTCAAGCCTGATACAGTGTACCTGTTTGATGCGATACCGCGCCGCGGTGGGGGTCGTCGCGCGACGTGCTGCATTGTAAAGCATTACATGCGCTGGGATGAATATTTCGAGGGAGGGGAAGCTCAAACTGACGCGTATGTGACATAAAATGCGCTATCGGTTTTGGCCGGCACATGATGCTCAATAATAACAAAACAACTGGGAATGTCAGAACGGTTCCGCGGGATTAGGACAAGTTTTGGAGTTAAAGGAGCTAGTTTCATGGTTCCCATGTCTTAGATAGAGCGGGCTTGTTACAACTGCCATCTATGGTCGCATTCGTGCTACATGTCGTTTCCCAGTCATAGTGGGTACTCCATACGATCGACCATATTTGCCTTGTGTTGTATGTATGAGCATTGCTATTGAGTGCTTGTTGAGGCTTTCTGGGGCATAAATAGGTGTATATATGCCCCATATATATCCCATATATATATATATATATATATATCTGGTATATCCCATTTACATATCTAAAAGCAGGCAGGTCACATGGTATTATCTGTTTCCAGGATGCATGTAGAATGTGAGGTTGGCTGACCTTGATGGGCCCTTGTGGGTCTCGTTGGCCTGATGCCGGTATGTCTTATCAAGCAATGCGAGGGTTCTGATTACTGTGTGTTGTTATTGATCAAGGTTATAGTGCTAATCAATGTATATGATCATTTTATACCCTTTTGAAGGCCAAATCTAAAGCCAAGACAAAGTTAAGAAACCAAAGCTGAAACCAGTAGCTTTGCATTAGAAAGCATCAACATGAAGATGAGCTGGTGGCTTCCAGCTTTGCAGATAAAAAGGGCAAACCAGGGACTTAATAAATTGGAAATTCAAAGCCAAACTGAGCCATGACCAGTTAAAATTGCACAGGCTGAAGGTGGAGCCAAATGCAAGGGTTTTGCAGATTGATTAAGAAAAGGGGTTAGCATTGCTTATGATCAAACATCTGAGACTTATCTCCTCACCTCTTGCTAGCATGAATGCAATGTTTAGATAGCTCCCAAGCTTAAATTGTATCTTAGCTGATCCTCATTGTTTCAGGCTCTCAAACATGCATGAATCACAGCCCTGAAAAATAATGTAATTTATGTGGTGATAGTCCAGGCAAGGCCGCTAGAGGCAACATAAAATTAAGTTGTAGCTTCTGGGAAATAGCTAACATGGTAAAGCCAAAACAACTTATGTTTGCATGAAGCCAAAAGTGAAGCAATGATGTAAAACTTTCTAAGATGAAGGCAACTGCTAAAAATGTCATGCAGGTGGAGCAAAAGCCAGCCATATAAAATTACATGATGCTGAAGCTGAAACTTGTCTTGGGCATGGAAAATTTTTCTAAGCTTCATCTAAATCTAAAGTTGTTTGAGGAAATAGGCTTCTCAGAACCAAATTACTTTGTCCTCACTTGCATGTTAAGCCATTCCCATCACCCATGCAGTATGTTTGAGTGTGAAATGGTCTGAAGAGGTCCAAAATTCAGGCCTACCAGCCAACTAATCCACTGGGTATGTGCCAAGAACCATACCATCAGTAATGTTTTGCAGATTTCATTGGGCAGGGTTTCTTGTGTTATTTATGATCAAATAAAGGAAATGCTCACGAAATAAAAGCAATACATTGAGCTGAAAAATAAAGTCATGTTTTGACTTTACTTATATAGCTGACTTGTCATGTATATATTTTCAGATAAATTTAATTGTTACAATACATGCACTATTTCTCATTATCACCTGAATAAGGATATGCATATCAGTTTTGAATGACCTGAAAGATCAAGCAGACAGATTAAGAGTGACACAGTAGTTAGCAATTCAGCACATGAGGGTGTGATGCCACTTGTTTGAAGTTAACCAAACATGTTCAGTCTTGCAATATGTGTGGCATCAGTCATTCAGGTCGCCTTTGGCCTGAATGGCCGTGGGCTAACTCCCCTGGACTCAGCATCATTTGATAAGGTAAGACCATGCTTGCTTTTTTTATTTTTTGCTCCTTTGCATTATTTTGCATTTACACAGTAACTTTTCATACTATGGTTGCATCATATTAGAGGCTGAGCTTTTTGCTTACAAGCATATGCAAATGATGTTTTGCATTATTTGTAAACTGTGGTGTATGTCTGTGGGCTGTGAATAACTTTATTTTAGTCATAACCCTCTTTGTCATCTTGATAAGCTCAAATGTCTATTAGTGTTTTGCAGTCTGGTGATTAATTCTCAAAAAGTTATGTTAACTTTGACCTGATTTTTCAGATAACATCAAAGTTTAAGGCAACACTGATCAAGTTTGATAAATACTTTCCATATGGTCCTGATCATGATGAGTATGTCAAAATGGCAGTCAATGCAGCAGACAACAGTGATTTCCTTGTGGCTGAGGTAAGGCAAATGTGTGTTATCTACAAATGTTAAGGCACTCAGTACCTTGGGGGGGGAATATTTCCAGATCCATGTAGCTCTCATTTACTTATGAACAGAGCATGCCAGGGTTAAGTTCTCTTTAGTTGTTTCACATTTGAGGCTTTCATATAGGAAGACTTGCTTGTGTGTGCCCAGTAAAATGCTATTTTTTGTTAGCTTGCAACTGGTGCCATCACATTACCTGACTTGTGACCTGACCCGGCATACCATTACCTGACTTATGTTCCAGGTTGGTGTCAAGGATTATGGTGATTATGAAAATAAAGACCTACTGGAAAGGTTTGGAATATCACCTGAAGACCTACCTGTGATCAAGCTTTACTTCCCTGTGAGTTTCTTTATCCATCTTTTGATCAGTTTGTGGTACGTTCATCAATGTTGTCGCAAGGACACATGCATGAGTCATTCACTCGTGCTTTGCTTATAGTTGGCCATTCACCATTGATGCTGCAAAGGATTACCACAAAGACTGCATTTCCACATCTTGGAGTTACGGTAGCACACTTGAGGCCATGCAGTCCACAGTGAGGCCAGGGACCTCCACAGTAACCCAGTGACCTCCGCAGTGTCCCAGTGACCTCCGCAGTGTCCCAGTGACCTCCACAGGACCTCCACAGTGTGCCAGTGACCTCCGCAGTGTTCCAGTGACCTCTGCAGTGTGCCAGTGACCTACCCTGCCCGATGGCAGGTCATCCCTGCCGTGTGCTGGCGAGCCCCGCCCCGCGGGCACCGGCGCCGTTGACGCCGCCCTGTGCCGCAGGACGGCCGGCCGCCGCTGCCCTTCAGCGGCCCGGTGACGGCGGCGGCTCTGGGCCGGCTGGTGCGCGGCGCCGGCGTACCGCTGCCGCTGCCGGGCGCGCTGGCCGAGTTCGACGCTCTGGCCGGGCGGCTGGCGGCGGCCGAGCCGGCCGAGCGCGCGCCACTGCTGGCCGAGGCCGACCGGCTGCTGCGCGAAGCGCCGGCCGAGCGCCGCGACACGGCGCAGTACTACGTGCGTGTCATGGGACGGCTGGCCGAAGAGGGCAGCGCGGTTGTGGAGACGGAGCGTCGCCGCGTGCGGGGCCTGCTGGAGGGCAAGCTGTCCGAGCAGAAGAGGCGGGAGATGGAGACGAGACTGAACGTGCTGCAGGCGTTTGTTGCGCCCGCAGATGGCGCGAAGGACGAACTGTGATCTCTGGTGTCGGCTGTATGACGGATCGCGTTGGGACCGTGCGTTGTCGGGTGAGAATAACCGTCCGGCGTCGGTGCGCTTGCTAAAGACTCGTTTGCAGTAGTGATGTTACCTATGACGTGTTTCAGGCTTTTACACTCAGTCACATTCCACGTAGTGCACCTCTCACATGTTTGTTTGACTGCGTTCCGACAAATATAGCGCGTTCGCACCAGCGCTTTGCTTTGTCCGAGGAAGACTCGTCATCGCACGATAGTCCTGAGCAGCGCCGAACTTTATAGCTCTGTACCCTGGTACCGGTTAGTCAAAGCCATCCACAGGTAGGCGCCACCGCATGTATGCGCTTGCTGTAAAGTACAAGTTCCACCCGACATACCTCGATACACAGCAGCTCAACCGCACAGGAAGCCACATCTTGCAGGGAGTTCAAACTCACGCGCTCACGGTTTAAGCGCGCACTCTGGGAGCACGTCAGCTAGCGTGGTACATATCACTAAGATGACGGGCCGAACTTGTCGATAGCCATTCAGTTATACTGGGGGCGTCAGGCGCGGCTATTCATATCTTAACGAGCGCGGGCGCAGGTCAGTAACGCTTCGTATCGTTTCGAGGACATCCAGCTCCCACACCCAACAGCAGCGGGTCTTGTCGGTACAAACGCTCACGAAACTACGACACTGGCTTTGGTATGAATATGCGAATAAATAGCGAATATAAGCACCATCAGGTTCTGCAGGAAACTCGCCATTGAGCAAAACCCTCCTCAGTTTAAAGCGATCTCGCCGCGAGCTCAGGGCACCGGCATCTGTCCTCCCAGCCGCGCGGGCGGCCACGTGACCGGCGCTCAGCCGGCTGTCGCCGCCGGCTATCCGGACGAAGCGCGCCGTCCGCGACACCTCCGGCTGGTCAGGGCGGCACGGGGGCAGGACGGGCGACGCCGGGTCGCGCCCGTGACCAGGGACGGGCAGCGCGCACCGCGTCCAGACAGCGGCCGCCACTCTCAGCCGGCCTCCGCTCCCTCCGTGTTCTGCCGTGCGCACTGTCCGACAGCGCAGGCAGCCATGTGTCGCTCTCCAGCGCTGACCGCTGTCTGTAGATCACTGCTCCAGCGGAGGAGCTGAACGCTGCTCCGTCTGGGACAGACGCCGCCGGTCACTGACCGCACCTCCAGTCGGGAAAGACTCGGTCCGGTCGCGCTCCTGCTCGGGCTACCGCCGTCACTGCTCCAGCTGTCTGGTCACTGTTACAGCTGGCCGGTCACTGCTCCAGGTGGCCGGTCGCCGCTTCAGCTGCCCAGTCACTGCGACAGCTGCCCGGTCACTGTTACAGGTGTCCGGTCACTGTTACAGCTGTACAGTCACCGCTCCAGCTGTCCAGCTACTGCTCCAGCTGTCTGGTCACTGTTACAGCTGTCCGATCACTGCTCCAGCTGTCCGGTCACTGTGCCAGCTATCCGGTCACTGCTCCAGCTGTACGGTCACTGTTCCAGCAGGGAGAGCTCGATGGCACGCCGCACCATCTCCTCCTCCTCGCGCCGCTGCCGGTCGGCAGCCGCGTCCTCCCGCCGCGACAGCTCGAGCGCGGCCGCCATGTCGGCGTCCTCTGGCTCCGGCTGCGGCCCCCGGCTCCGGGCCGCCGCGGGGGCCGCCGCCGCCGCCGTCGGACGCCAGGGACAGCTGAATCGCCCTGGACGGTCGGCAGGAGACACGTGTGACCAGACGATGGCGTACCCCGACACGAGCCCACCGGCTGAGCGGCCGACTGCACAGGGGCGCGACCTCACTAGGGAACGGCTCAGGCCGGTGGCCAGGCCGGCCGACAGCCGGGCCAGCCGCCACACTACTGTACGGGATCTCAGCGACAGCGCGAGCTCGGTGCACCAACTGCTAACTGTTAACTGACTCGAGTTGCTAAAATACAAAGGCACAGACGCCCGACCAGCGCCACCCGACAGGAAGCTGGCTGATTACTCTGGTGGGCTGACGTACAGTTCTGTGGTCCGCCGTGGCTGCCCGTGGCCGAGTGCTGCTCTTCAGCACGTGGCTGCGAGGGCATGCCGTCGGGGAGAGCGGTACACGTAGGAAAGACAAACCACAGGAGAAGGACTAGCACGTGGACATGAGGCAAACGTCTTTCTTACGAAGCATAGAAGTGGGGCCTTCACATTATGACCTAGGAAGTAATACTGAATTTTGAAGGCGATATTAAACCTTGTCACATTAGGTGCTGCATTTTCGGAACAATCCATAACAATATTTTGGAAGCAATGTTTAAAACCACATCACCGTGGTTTATAAACCAACCATAAACCAACCATGCCAGAGGGAGGCCCCACTAACGAATACAAACACCCCTGTAGACAGGCCACCGCGCTCAACGGCCGGACACAAACGGCGCAAGGCTAATGATGGCAGTGCGCCGGTTAGGACCCGGTATACACCAGCATCAACCAAGGAAGTCGTAACGCACCGCGCACGCCTTCGGCAGCAACGGGTGTGTTCATATGAACACACCCGTTGAAATGACACTCCCACGATGGGCAGTGTCAATAGACTAGTGGGCTTAACATTTTCAGGAGACGGCCGTGCTGAAGAAGGGTGGGCCCCACCACCTGCGCCATACCCAGCCCCGGATCGGGGTGCATCGTTACAGCAGGATAAGCTACCACCTAGTGCCGGGGAGCCATACAGCGTGTCTCCACTGGGTGCGTAAGGCGGGGTACATCTGGTGAGTGCTGCGGCAAGGGGTGGACGGGCTGCTAATTGTCGGTGGGCCGGCGACGGCGCAGCGAGAGGGAGCGGAGCAGGCGAGTGCCCAGGCCCTCGGCGGCGGGCGCCGGCCGCCGCACCGACAGACACCGCCTGATGCCGGGCCGCGGCGGCGCGCCGCCAGCGCCGTCTGCGGGGCGTCGTCAGAAGATGGACTTGCGCCGACCGCCGCTCTTGGGCGGTGGCGCGCGAGCCGTGAGCCGAGAGAGCGAGGGCGAGCGGTACCTCTGCAGCATCTGCTCGTCCAGGTCCGGCGCCGCGTGTCCGCGCGGCGTGCACGACTCGGCCCGCAGCGCCTCCCAGATATCCACCTGGCCAGGGTCAGATCAGGTCAGGTCGGGTCAGGTCGGGTCGGGTCAACACTGCGTCCGGTCATTGCTGACAGCCGACAGCCGGTGTACCATGACGAGTCATAACACAGTAACGCCTTGATCGGCGACTGCCTATCACGGCACCATACGTCTAGAACATAGCAGATGTCCTGCACGAAAACCTCGACCAGTATGGCTCACTGGAGCCAACGTCGCAGGCGGAGCAACGCGCGTCGGACGCCGGAGTGCACATAAGCACCTGGCTTGCTCTCGGTGCCGTTGCGCGGCCGCGCACGGCGCTCACGTCACCGGCAGCTCGGCCGGCAGCAGCGGCGGCGGCGGCGGCTCACCCGTTCGTTCTCGGTGCCGGAGTCGAGCAGGCTCTGCTGGATGGCCATCTGCAGCAGCTCGTCCTCCTCGTCCGGACCCCCGAAGTGGCGCATCACCCCCGAGCCTGGCCACACGGCGCGGTCGTGGCAGCGGCACCGCAGCGGCCTCCGGCGCGCAGAACACAGACCGCGCCTGCCGCCGCAGCACCGGCGGCACACCGACGAAATAACGCAAGCAGAACCACCGGTGTGGGCGGCCCCGCGCCGGCGATCGAGGTGATGCATATATTGCATGTTACGGACTGATGTCCGGTGTATCCCGTCCACCAGAGATACTGACAACGGCAACAGAAGGACCCCGCACCCGCTTGCCAGGGGACGGACGCCCAGCACACGGCACGGCACTGACGCCACCGCTCTGGGCGCTCGGACGACCTGGCGGAGCAGAGGACGAGGGGCCGAGGACGCGGCGCGCCGCAGGGGTGGGGTTTGGGGGGCGGCACCCCGGGGCGTCCAGCCGGCAGCGTCGCCACACTCACCGACGCTGCGGTAGCCCGCCGGCGGCTCGAACACGGCCTCGTCCACCACGCACGCCGGCCGGCCGGGCTCCTCGATCACGGACACGTGCTGCACCGGCTCGTCCACGGCGAAGATGTTGCCGAACGTGATCCGCGCCGTCAGCACGTGAAAGAGCGGGATCTCTGCCGCACGGACGAGCACGCGCGTTACGGGGGGCTCACGGCGAGCGCCGGCCGCGCTGTGCCGAGCGACGCGACGGAGACCGGCTCACGGCCCGGCGCGAGGGCGGCACGCACGCTTCAGCGCGGTGGGATGACGCCAGAGGCGTCGCAACCAGACACTTAGTGACATATGTGAAAATGGGGTCTGCATAGAAGCAAAGACCATACCGAAAAAAGGAGAGCGAGTCGCCATCCATACCAGTTTGCTATGGATGGTGACAGGTGTGCTTATCAATATGGAAGACAAGCAAGACAGCATCACTCCACGGGTGACTTCCAAATGAATTCAGCACGCAAGAGAAGTCACTAACCTATTTTGACGGGGAATCCTGAAGGCAGCTGCATCTGAATAAACTCTTTTAGTTTGGCAAAATGTGTGGAATGTATAGACATCAGGTCCACTATGGGCATCACTTGCTCTTGTAGGCTCAGCGGATATTCCTCGCATAGCCATAGCGTCGCCTGAAACATGCGTCGTTGTGATAACTGAGAATCATACTGACCAAAGTGTCACTGGAAAACAACTTGACATCTATCACAGTTACAGGCGACAGCTGAGTAAAATCCTTCCACGTCACATGTCGCACACAGCGTGAGAGGTCTGACCACCAAGCCGGTCTGTTTAACATGCGGACGTTGGGGCAGCTGTCTCTTAAGAACCACTACACAACACAACGTCCTCACACGCTCGAACCCCGCCAAGTGAGACGTTCCAATGCTTTCCCCATCGGCTGCCGGTGGGCCCGTTCGCCCCAGCGCTGGTGGTACGGCACAGAGCCGAGGGGCACCAGCCCCGCGCCGTCACCACGCCCGCGCGGCGCCACGGACCTTGAGCCTCTGCGTCTTGGTGGCGGTGTGGCGCGGCCGGCCGATGTCGCGCTCGCCCAGGTCGCAGGCCGGGTCGAAGTACTCCTCGGCCGCGATGTGGCACGGGTTCGTGCTCGACTCGCTCACCTCCGGCTGCCGGCGGGCGGAGGGGAGTGAGACGCCGCCGCTCGTTGCTCACGGCAGCGCTTCACACCGATCGCGGACGTGGCGGTGACACGTGCTGACGTCATCACACAAGGGGGGCTCAGGCCCGCACGCGGTCGGGAGAGGTGTGCTCCGTTTCACGCGGTCCCGTGACGACGCTGATAGGCTCCTCCACTCGTATAGCGGCACAGGGCGGCTCCACACTTGATGGATCGGCCGCG